TTTCTCTCTTAATTTCAGAATCCTTTGCAGCTTTTAAAGATGAAAGTTATCGTATTAAGTAATCAACTGGCGAATGCAAAGTAATGGTAATCTGAATGCGCACAATAAGTGATGTATCGCGCTGGATGTCGATATGGACTCGCAATCAGAAGGTCATGATTTAAATCCCAATCAAGGATTCACTTAGCCCATTATCATCATCATTAGACACTTAATGAGGCATCGATTTATCAATTAAAATCGATGCCTCGTTAATAATACATGCATTCAATTGTGCATGCGAGTGTTGATTCTTTACAATGTTTGCAAATTAGAAACTTATGTTACATTTATGCTAAATAAGCAGACAATTGACCAAACGAGACAGAGAAAATGGGGAATTGTATAGAGACATGGGAAACATGACCATTTATTGTAACAGTTAATGGACTCACCAAAGGGGGATGTCAATTGATCCTTATGGCTGAGGCAATAAAATATTTTATGCTCTTTGATTCTTTCGGTAAAGTCACGTAGGTAGAAGAATAAGTATTTTCTACCTACGTGACTTGACCGGCGTGACTTTACCGAAAGAAGCAAAGAGTATGGATTTCTGCAGTCACGAAAGCTTCAAATCAAGATTAAATATTTGATTTCTGGGACAATATTTTTTCCAGGGGTGTACTTAACTCCGCGACAGGGGTACCAATCAATCCTGAAATCAGCGCCGCTCCGCGATGTCGAAACGCAGCGAGGACGATTGCGCTGAAACCCTGAATGCTCGCGTATGCACCGTAGTGGTGCATTGTGTACAGCTCGTCGAGATGAGTCGATTGCCGCATCGCCGACCATCAACAGACTAAAAATGAATGCATCACAGACATTATGCGAGAGCCGGGGTACTATGGTACCCCGAGGTACCGCCATAAGGTTCAATTGTTACTTGCCTAATCATCATCATCATGACTGGTTGATCAAATGAGCAGCAGCATTAAGTAAAATCAGCAGTGGCTGTTGTACTGTCGATAGACTGACCCTCGCCATGGGAATGAGGAATTTCTACTCCTGGCTTAGGATCTAATTTACAGTTACACATTACTACACAGCACAGAATGCACGCACGTACAAGTAGACACACACCTGCATGTAGTTTATATATACAGATACAGGGTGGCTCAAAAGTCAGGGCACAGAGGGTTATTTTCTTTATTTTAACACTGGCTTGAAAACATTTTTATTGTTTATTCTTTAATTTAATCCTTTATTATCATTACAAGCCTACACACCAACCTCTCCATTCGCCCCCCCCCCTCTCTCACCAGTGCTGTGAGACCTTGTAAGAGGTGCTCACTCATTTTGTGACCTTGGGATGGTCCCACCATGGGATAGGTTTCAGGCAGAAAGAGATATAGTGGCTGACAGTGATGTCTGTGAATGAGTGAGCGAGTGCGTTTCTATGGCTGTGTGTGTGGGCATATAGTTGTGTTTGTGTATGAGCGTGTTTAAATGGCTGTGTGTTTATGAGTGTGTGTCGTGCAATGTATTCGTGTATACAGTGTGTGTGGCAATTAGTGTTTGAGTTTCTATGGGTATGTTTGTGTATATGGGTGTGGCAGAGTGCGTGTGTTGTGGGGTTAGGGTATATGAGTGCGTGTATATTTGAGTGTATGGGTGTATGTGTGTGTGGGTATCGCAGTAAGTTTGTTTCATTCAGTAAAGTTATTCTATTGTTGGCTTGGGATTATATGTGTATGAGGGTGTGTGTATTTTATCTGTGGGGAGCGGTAGTGTAGGGGTTAGCGCGCTTCGCTACGAACTTGGCGACCTGGGTTTGATTCCCACTCACGGCTAACACCAGTGACAACACCAGTTATCTAGTTCCGGTTTAGCAGCAGAAGTCTCACTCAGAATCAGCCGAGCAGCATCTTTTCATTGGCTGCGTAACGCTGTGTGGAAGCTACCTGATCTATCGCTGCATACAATGCTCCAGGTCTTATAGGCCACAGTTATGGCCTCCCTTCTATATGCTTGCGAAACCTGGACCCGTCTCAATGAATGTCTGTGGTCCTGGCCACCCACCCCCTCATGTGCCGTGCCGGCCTTCATAGGTGCTCGTCAACAGCACTCGCTGCAAGTCAGTTACAGGCTATATGGGGGATCTTTGTCTATTGGTGCTGGTTGTGACGTCACTGCCACTTAGTGGCAAATGTTGGTTGTTGGTGCTCGTCGATGTGACAGCCATCTCCTGTTATCAGGTACACTCAGTCTCTCACAAAGTTATAAAGAGACGTCATGTTCAATATTACTTTTATAGACAAAAATAATATAAATTCATCTCATGAAATTTATATTTTGACTTGAACTAAACACGATCAAACAACAGGATTTTCACACTCTCAATTACCTCTAACTGTATACAAAATAATCAAGAGCGTTGTTGTGGAGAATATAGGTCACAATATAAATGAGCAAACATTATGCCTCGTTCGTGTATGGTATCTGCTGATGAACTGCATCTTGCATTGGCCAGCATCGGTTCAAGCAAGCCTGGGTTTGCCGATGAGACACTGAATGTGAAAACCAGTCCAGACTTTGCTTGTATTGAACCATCGTCGGTAAAATGATGCACTCCCAGAAGGCCTCGTGGATGATGGGATGTGTCAATAATACTTGAAAATTGTATTCTGAAAGGACAGAAATGAAGGAGGTTATTGTCTGCTTATTGATGTTGCCACACAGTCCAGTACAGCACGCACTGGCCCTGAGCTCCAACTCGTCTTCACCTTTGCTGCCCCCTTTGTTCTCCACGTGAATAAGGTTACACCTCCACCGCCATTAACTTCAGTGTATACGTGCTGTCTGCTAATTTTCCCACAGTAATTACACATCCCTTTAACACCTGCTTCCCCCCCTTAATCTGTCAAACATCAGGGTTCCAGCCACACACAGCAGGCAGTTTAATTAACAATTGTTCCATGTTATCGGGTCAGGGGGTGAGTAGAGCACGTTTACTGATTTGTGTGCATTTGAGGTGTTTATAGTAAAACATGGGTGTGGATTGTGGATTGATGCGTATTTGATATGCTAAGGCAGTGGTTCTCATTTGTTTGAACCGAGTACCCCCTTGCCTGACCCGACATGGTTCTGAGAAATAAATGTATGAATAATGAACATCAATACTTAACCAGTTGTCCATTTTGTGAGATCTCGTAACTAGCTTGTAACTGCAAGCGAATAAAAAAAAACCCAACAAACGCTCTGCATTCATAACGTCATTTGTTCGCTGCTCGCTGTTTACTCTTGGAAACCACATTTTTTACTATCAATGAGCTTAGAAAGGTCTTTTATATCGTTCTAGGTTACCATATGGATTCAAACAAATTATTTATTTTATATTGGCAGATACATACATGATTATTCACCAATTACTCTCTTGTATGATATAATTTCACACGTTTATATATCATCTCACGTTATCCCCTTAGGACATTGCCACGTACCCCCAGGGGTCAACGTACCCCTCGGTTGAGAACCACTGTGCTAAGGGGTAGTAAGATGTTGGTGATTATTGTGCAGTGGTTTTGAGTGTGCAGGCAACTGTGGTGTTTAAGTGTGGTGGACACGGAGTTGAGAGTACTGGTTCTTACCCTGTTCGAGGACAGGGGGAGAACCCAGGTTTGAGGTGGTGTCTCGTCACACATATATATCACTAGTTGTGGTTCTGGTGATATGTTTGGTGGCATTGGTGATTTTCTACCCAATTATATTCCATTTGGGCTATCGGCTTCAGGTTGTGATTTGTTTTTTTTCCATTTATAACCTCTGTAATATCACAAAATGTCAGATAAGGACCCCTGGACATCATACAAATTCAGTACTCCTGAAGTCCATTCAATAGCCTCTTGCTCATACTAGGGATACAACACCCATTATATGCCCGACAATTAATGCCTGCATGTAAATGAAAACAAAATCCCAAGTCCTCAGAACTGGGTTTGGTTTGTGCAGTCACCAGTGACCTGGCTGATGCCATCAACTTGCTGTACTTAAGAATCCAGTTTAATTATGGGTGGCTGATACCCAGTTTCAAACCCATTGTGTCTGATCCAGTGTCTGACATGGCCATTATCTACTCTCTGAGCCACTTCTGCTCTAGATTTGGGCATGGTGGCACAAATTCTACACAATTGTTAAACTCCTAAAACCTACTGGGCTGTGAGATGGTCAGGAAATATAGTCTAGCAAGTGTGTTTATGAACTTGTCTGTGCAGACATTTAGCCACTATCCTATAATGTGCCTAGTGTACTCCAGTTCCCTACCACACAAAGCAAAACACTCTTTAAGAGTATGTATGCAACGTACGTAGCCAACCGTGCGAATCGGAGGTAAAATTATCCAATGGCGGAGCCAGGATTTTCAGGTAGGGGGGCAACCCCTCCAGCAATGAGAAATGTTAGAGGAGTTGTTAGTAAGTAAGGACTTGTCCCTTGCTTTTAATTCGACGCGTGTGCGGCGATGGCGCAGCCATCGATCGAGGGTCGAATTCGAACCGCGTTGTGTGATCGGCATCGTGCTCGCTGAAGGTGAATGCCTTCAGGGAAGTCGTGGACTGTATACGCAACTGTGCACAATTCTGTGAGTCACTTATAACTGCTTTGCCGTTACTTATTGCCAATTATGGACTCAGACTATTGTCCTATCATCTCAGAGTCCCTGGCACGTAATAATATGCTACACAGTGGCACTGGGGGTCGCAAATTCTCAATTTATTACTAATAAACCCCAATGATCCGATCGAAATTAGGAATTTTGGGGGGGCACGTGCTACCCCCCCCCCCCCCGCAGGCTCCGCCAGTGAATTTCAGTGCACAACCCTTCTGTAAAACAGTCTTGAGACTCAGCGACGCCTGTACGGATACATTACTATATTATTATTATGATGCATCGTTAACTTCCAACTCTGCTGCTTCTGCTACTACTGCTGATTCTGTTGCTTCTGCTGTTGCTGCTTTATCCACAGAGGACCAACTACCGATGGGCTTTCCTGTAATTGACAATGGCCCTGTGCTGCGTGTGGTGGAGCGTACCCGCCTGGCCACCATGCTGTGTGTTGTGAGCGGCACACCAGACCCGGAGATCACCTGGTACAAGGATTTGCTGCCCGTCGACACTGGCTATAACCAAGGCCGCATCAAGCAGCTTCGCTCAGGTGAGGCTCATCCTGGGTTCACGCCTATGCCCAGGTGGTACTCTCTTTGCCTGTGAGGGTCTTGTGGAGTGGTGGCATAATGATTCGCGCATTGGGCTGTGCACCTTTCGACCTGAGTTCGATTCCCGGCCACAATTCACATCAGTGGCAAATATCTGATCTTGTCCTGGGTGTAATCTAGTGCGAGTTCGATTGCAAGTTTATTTTGTTAAATCAGGTGAGAACTCAAGAGACCATGAACGTCTCATTTGAAAAAGTGACCTGGAGCATTAGTCTGCCAGGAGGCTGCAATGATTGATATGTACACTGTGAAGCTAGGTCGACTCGGCCTTAAACGAGTACCTAGTCGAGTGAGTGAACATCAGCACTGGGCTGACAAAGGCGGCTTGGTGTGGTGCTGCCTACAGCACCCCTTGTGCGCCGTGCCGGTCTTAATAGATGTTTACGAACAATACTTTCTCCAGCAGCCTGTGGCGATATGGGAATCTGTGTCTTTGTAAATAAGTTATATGTGATGAGTAGCAGGCAGCTGTAAACGAGAAGCTACTATGAACATGCATAAATCAGACAGTGAGCCAGCATCTGAGGACATGGGTTGGATACCTGTAAATGTCGTACTCGAATTGTAAATATGGGTCTACTCTCCAACAAACTGGTGTGCTAAAGTAGTAACTAATTTGGCACGTTTTGTGTACGTGATAAACCTTACTAATGGCTGTGTGGAGTGGTGGTGGGTTTAACGACACATTTATATTTAACTGATCTAACCCAAGAAAATATGTATCAGGGATACCTGAGTATAGTGGCACGCTCTCTCGCAGAGTTTACAATGACGATGTTGGATAAACACCTCTGATGTCACATGTATAAGCCGTGGGGTATGGTATCCGGAATTCATAATGACCATGCCAGTTTCATAATAGCCATGTCAGAGGCACTGCGTGAGTTGAGTTTGAGCCCTGGGGTTGGGTGTCACTCTCGTAGATTCATAAATGGCTATCAGCTACCAATGCTGAGAACCTGTGTGTGAACCATTTTGCTTGGCACCTCTCTATTACAGAGGGCTGAAGATTACTGTGCTAGACATACTGAGCCAGCAACCTCAGGTCCTCAGTTCAAGTGCTGGGTCTGGGTGTCTCATTCTCTCTGAGGGTTCATACTTGGCTGTGACAGAGTTCCTGTGTGTTGAAACTGTGTGCGTTTTACCACATGTCAAGTGTAACCTAATGTGTGTCCTGTTTGGTTCTTGCCTATTTCTCCTCCACACTGTTTGGCCGGGCCCTCAGAGTCTTTTGGTGAGTTCATTTTACACACAAACATACACACTTGCACAAATTCACACGTGCATGTATAGACACCCACAGGCACAGACACACCTCAAACACACATGCAAACACAGATATGCACGTACACACATGCACACGAGACCACTTGAAATCTTGGTGGACCCTTCCCAAGTGAGCCAGGGAACAGCCCTGATTGCACCCCTCACCTCCCATATATGACCTCTAACCCTGTCCCTATTCCCCTTCCACACAGGACCTACTCTTATCGATCCTTCAACTACACACACATTGCCATGAACCCTGTTCAAACTATAGCACCTTGCACGTGGGCCTTACCCTTATCCATAATCCCACCACTAACCCTACCCCTATCCCCTACACATAGAACCTACCCCTAGCTTTACCACTCTGCACACGGACCCTACACCCACCCATAAGCCTACCTCCCATATCCAACGGCCTTACCCGTAACCCTCTACTATTGTGCCCTACTCTTACCTCCACACGTAATTTCCACTGCTACCCATGCCATCATCCTTACAGAACCTACTCCTACCCACCCTCTTCACCTTTCATCTTCTATCCCACTCCATTTGAGTCCTCCCCCTACCCACTCTACCCCTACTACACTTAACCATACCCATAACTCTACTAGCACCCCTGTCCCCATCCTCAACCCATAATACTATGCCTACCCCACATAAGTTGCCTCCTTTTATGGGAAAAGTGCACAGGGGAATTGGTACGTGACTCATTGTGAACCAATCACAGTATAGGCGTTCCTCGACAGCGGTGTTTAGAGAAATAAACTATATAAATATTTACCCATTCTAATGTTTTAGTTCTTGTATATTTTCTCATCCTTATTTTTATGACGCCATGTATCACGTAAGGGTGCTTTACTAAATATCAGATTTGACAGGAATTGATAAATAATTAAAGTAATTATGGAAATGTCCAAGCCACATGCACAGCGTATCACCTGCTCATTGGAGTGTGTGGTGGTGCTCAAAGTCGACATTTCTATAGCAGGGACCAGTCTGTCCATCGCGCGAGCAGTGTTGACTTCCTACAGAGTGAGACTACTAGTCATGCCATTAGCTTAGGGGGTTGATGGTGCTGATGACGATTATGGGCTGAATCTAAAATGGCATAATATATGCTCCAAGCTCGTGTGCTGTTTCATTCAGACGCTGTCTCCCCGACAGACCTGGTTTTCACCTGAGGACGGCTGCTTGCGTTGTGGCCGAAACGTCGTGAGAATTATTTTCTTATGTTTCTAAAATGGCAATTGAGTATGAAAAACAATTTGACTTTCAAAGTTACCAACGTGTACCAGAGTTAATTAATTAATTGTATTATAAATGATCTTAAACAATTTATGATGAAAACTATTTAATGTAAATATGTGTGTTTTTTTTATTACATAAAAGAAAAGTTTTAATCAGCTATTCCTGTGCCGGGGCTTGGGTTGTGGTGTAGCCCCGACACATGAAAAATGCAAGTAACGACGACTGGATGAGTGGTTGAGACTGATCACTTCAAAGGGCACACATTCAGCATTAAATAGTGATGAGGGGAGGTTCTTGTTTGAAGTGCAGCTTTAGCAGTCTGTACAATCACAAGGGATTTAAACTCTGTGTGTACACGTATGTGCACGTGTGCATGCGTGTATTTTTTAAATACGAGTATGCTTTTGCACGTTTATAATGTAATAATGTAGTGTATTTGTCCAGGAAAATATCAGTCCCTTTACTCTTTCTCGTGTGTGTGACTACATACATTTTAATGAGTGTTTTGCGTGTCAAAGGAAATGTAATCCCCAGAGAAAATGCAGACGCATACCGGGGGATAACACCCAAAGGTCTGAATAGATGGATTTACGAACCTACTTGCTTTACTACCATCTACTGCCCAACTTGTAGTTCAGCACATATGGGAACTTCAGAAATCTACACGATGCACCATCCCTTGCCTCCAAAGTGCTATGATAGAATATCCAGAAATACATTGCATTAGCAGGATTGGGTGTGATTAATTACTTAGACCACTTTAAGGAGTAGAGGGGTCAACTTTGTTAATAAGAGATGGGTGTTCGAGCCTGGAGTAATGCCTTTGTTACTGTACACATCGAAGAACGTGATTTAAATCAACAATAAAATAAGCGTATGGAATTTGATTGCAGATGTATGTGGAGGTTAAGGCAAAAAACGTAGAACTTCAGCGCAGAACGTGGCATGAGAGCATTTGTATTCGTGATTACGAAGAGGAGGTTGTGATAAACGAAACAGGACATGTTGCTGAAACAAGCATTGCAATGGCATCCAGATGTCAGCAACAAAGGGGAAGACCTATAGCCAGATGGCAGTGGTGATGAGTTTGTAAGAGTGGGCCTTGGAGGCCAGGTGTTAAGTGTGCAACAGTTGTGAGGTCTGGCAGTGATAATAAGATGTGGTGCCATTGCTGGCCTTGGCAATAATGACATCTTGAACTTGATGAATTGTAGTTGTTGAGTGGAACTGTCATACCTTTCAAATCCCAGTTGGTGGGGGTCCTTTAACCCACTGTACTCCATTGGTCAATGAAATTAGTTCCAGTTTGTTGGAAATAAACATTGGTCATCCTTTTGAGAGATTGGCCACTGCTATGGGAATGTGGAATTTTCACCAAAAGTTTAGGACTGCCAAAGGAACCACCACCCACATTTGAGCAGGGAGACACTGTAATGTTTCAAATGCTATATGAGAACATATCCCCTGATCTTCTTCTGATTGGTATTTTTGCTTCTTCTGATTAGTATTTTTGCTGTATTCTAAATGCCACATCAGTGTAGCTGTTCATTTTTCTAAATACAGTGGTTTGATAATTTCTAAATTATTATAGGGATTGGATTGTTTCAGCTGTAATTTATGAATTCGCTTCGATTGAATCAAATGTAATTTCAGAGTCTACATAAAGCCAGGCATAATGGTATTTCGAATTCAGTTATGTTTTCTTGGAGAATCATATTGTTAATATTATGTGGTCATTGATAGAAAAACGTTATATTTAAATCCAGCTTGTTTACATTGATGTTTGGCCTCCACTATTCAACTCTCCGTCTTGCCTCCCTGTGACGTTTGTGAATTACTGATATGCGTGATAGCAGGCAAATGTATCTACAACATTTAAATAAGTATATTTACAGCAAGATTAGAAGATGTTATCACAAAATCGGATTGGAAAAATGAAGGCATGAACATAAATGGATAGAATATTAAACACCACAGATTTGCACCCAATAGAAATAAACTATAGAATATATTTGAAAGACTTCACATGTAACGTTCAATGTAAAATATGAAACAAAAATCACGTGCAGTTTTCTAAACAAAAAATACATTGTCAGAGGAATCTTCGTGGAAAATACAATAACATATCTTTGGCAAATATTGAAGTTTGTTTTTGGATCAAAATTATGAAATAAAGAAGCACACAAGAGCAGGATGGAGACTTTTGGAAAACTAAAATTTGCTATGAAAGCAAGGCACCAGTGTGGTTCACGAAGAAAGCTTGCAATCCGTACATATTTCCTGCTGTGCCGTAGATCAGAAACGTGGACACATGATAAAGTGGAATAAAGGTTTAAAAATGCGTGAAGCAGCATTGAGAAATGCATGCTAGGAATGTTTATCATCTCTGCATTTGTACATGTGCTCTGCATATAGTGGCCATTGCTGTACGTATTTTTTACAAATGAATAATTAACGTACCCTTATAATACAAATATTTCCTCATTAGCCTTACACACCTTTTGTTGGGAAAGGTGTTGTTGTGGAAGTGCTGGTAGTGAGGATATTTTAATATCATAGTATGTCTAGCATCACATCAGGCCACCTTTCTTTCCACTTATATTTACGCACCATACCAGGTACTCGTTTAATGGTTCACATACCACTTGCACTGGAGTTATCTATGGGTTCATAGCACGGTCTTTGCACCACTGCACCAGCGCTTCCCATGAACACATCTAAGGCAAAACAATATATTCTTGTGTGTTTACAGTTGCATGCATATGCCATCCACTTATATCTGTACCTATACATAAATTATTATAAATGTACATACGTATATACAGTACCATGCATGTGTAGTGAGTCCAACTGAGTCGCAGACGTTGTTCTTTAGAGGCAACACTTTTATTGTAACATCAACCCGTTAACACAAAGGGGTAACTGCCCCTTCACCAGATACAGCCTAGGGTGGTGACCACCCAGCTAACTACTCTATACGTAGGAGTTACAGCTACAAAGGGTCAGACCCTCACTCGAGTCCCCGACAACGTGTTGATGCCTCGTAGGACGTAGAGCTTCCAGCTTGTAGACGTGGAGCTTCCAGCTTGTAGACGTGGAGCTCCAGCTTGTAGAATGCAGCGACCCCGGTCCCTCTCAGGGACCCGCCTTATATCCCCCCGGGTCGGGGCCGCTCCGCCCTTGGCCCCGCCCGTCTTCTCGAGCGTTCTAGCTCCCTCTCGAGAGCTCTTGAGAACTCTCCCCGGACACGTGATCGCCCCCTAGCCCCCCCCCCTCACCTGGGGCCCTCTCTGTGGACACTCCATATCACGTGTCTACGGGGTCAACCAGAGTGCCATGGCCCGGGGCAACCCTGCCCCTGGGCTGACACTTTCCCGCTCTCCCTTGTGGGAGCCCGCACTGCACGCCATGCGTGGTGCCCGCACTATCCCAGCGCTCACCAAGCCCCGCTAGGGCTGGTACTACACTCGCCTACTGGGTGTCCGCGATGACGGTGCATCGCACGCCGTGCTGTGCTAGAGCCGGCCTCACACAGCAACCCACTCGGTGCTGACCGCGATGTAGGGACATCGCACGCCACGGCCCTCTTGGGCCTCCCCGATGTCACTACACATGTATGTGTAATGTAGCTCTCAGAGACACTGTATTGTTCAGTTATATGTATATTTTTTGTGAATAAAGTCCGCCGACTCACTGATAATTTAACGAGTAACCGCGAGTTGACTATATACAGTTGGGTAATTTCTGTGACTCTACGCGACGCTCCCTATGTAGTTGGCTGGCTACACAGGAGCGGACGCGTAGTAGTCACAGAAACAATATTAACTCTAGCCTCCAAGACTACAAGGTGCCCGATCCAAGATGATGAAGACAACCCGCTCCAAGATGACGACGGCGATGACAGTTTATTGATTCCCCCACAGCAGCCCAGAGCCCTGTTCCACGCCGGCTTTTATCCTCTCCTCGACCCGGCTACGCCCTTTTTCCCGAACACTCTCTCACCTCCTCATCTGGGCCTGTCTGTCCCATTCTCAATTATTATTTACGACCGCTTAGGTCCCGTGCTATCCTTACGCGACCCTGTCAGTGCCCGTCGCGTCGATTAATAACCAGGCCACGAGTAGCCGTACTGGCCTTACATATATATATAAAGAGTGAGTTCATAAATGTATGCGTATATGTGTACGTGTATGTGTGTGGACAGCTTCTATTCAATAATATAAAGACCCCTTCTCCTGCTGATGTGAATGTTCGTAGAAAACCCATGAATAAAACAGCCACGATGTCATGGCCGTCTTCACACACCCTGTCACAACACAACACCACACACGCACACACACCTGCAATATGGCTGTGCAGCTGGGTGGTTCATAATGGCCATGGCAGAAACTTTGAGGCAAATACCACTCAGATTCTGGAACTGATCATGGAGACGGCACTTCTCTCTGGGAGTTCACATTGGCAGTGGGGTTCATTAAGTTAGCTTCGTAATGGCTCTCGGACAGGGGTCGGCAACCTACGGCTCCGGAGCCGCATGCGGCTCTTTACGGGCTGCTTCTTGACGATATGTACGTATGTACAGTATGTACTCAGATGCATTGCGGCTCTTGAAATACAGAATTTTGTACCGAATTGGAAAGAAATGGCTCTTCTTGTTATTTTGGTTGCCGACCCCTGCTCTAGGAGATAATGAGGCAACAACTTTGGCGTCCTGGCTTGAAGTCTTACTGACTGGGTGACTCTTGTAGGAGGTTCACAATGGCCTGGAGACGTTAAGCAAATATTGCTTCTAAACCTTGGAATGAACACCTTGTTTTAGCCACACATTATTTAACTGAGCCGTTTGTTCTGTATTTTCCCAATTGTATTGAAGTCATGCATTTACATTTAAACATTTGCAGCTAGCAATGCGTGTCCCTGTGTTGGAGAACAGCCCTGGAAGATAAAGCGATTGAGTTACATCTGGGGACACTACAGTAGACCTGATTGTCCACCCTAGAGCCATACCTTGTAATGCCCTGCAACGATTGTCACATATCAAACTGAATTTTTTATAGTGTCAAAGCTCAAATAAACCAATTAATTTCATACTATACTCTTTGTTTTTTTCGGTAAAGTCACGTAGGTAAAAAAAAATATGTTAATAAAACAAAAATGAAAACAACTAAATTAAATCACGACGTTTCGGGGGTAACACAAGCTTCCTTCATCAGGTGTAAATACCCTATGTAATAATCTCTCATCACAAATAGCTCTCTCTACAGTAATTTTGCTATGCTATTTATTTACACCTGATGAAGGAAGCTTGTGTTGCCTCCGAAACGTCGTGATTAATTTTGTTGTTTTCATTTTTTTTATTTTTATTTACTTTTTTACCTACGTGACTTTACCGAAAGAACCAAAGAGTATGGACCCTTGCAGTCACGAAAACTTCAAATCTAGAATTAGTTTCATACTAATTTCATATGATGCGTTTTCTTGGTACTGTCATTGGGGAAGAGGGCTGATATTTTGTGTGGTTAACCCGATTCAAACCCACGATATACAATGGTGTAAACTTGAATCTCTGACCTCTGAGCCCACTAGCTACCTTGAAACTTGAGTTCTGAAGTGTAGTGAATTAGTTCCAGCACAGTCGCAAGTCAAAGCCAGACTTTCCCCCTGCTCTAGTGAGTGTGAGTTGGTACTGATCTCCTTTGGCGGCCTGGAACCACAAGTTACAATGCCACATTCCCTTACCAGGTACCGTTTTCTCCAGATGATGACGACTGTTGTCTTCCCTCCAAGTTTGAAGTTTTCGTGACTGTAAGGATTCATACTCTTTGGTTTTTTCGATAAAGTCACGTAGGTAAAAAATTAAAATACATTAAATCACGACATTTCGGGCGCAACACACTTAAGCGGTGTACTTTCGCTAAGTTGTCCTCACCTGAAGAAGGATGCTTGTGTTGCGCCCAAAACGTCATGATTTAATTTAGTGAGATTTTACCTACGTGACCATACCGAAAAAACCAAAGAGTATTTCCCTCCAAGTGGTAGTTGTGTTTATTGACCCTCGAGGAATGCTGAGCGGTGTTTTCTCCCAACCAGGATTAGAATTTGTGACCTTGGAGTCCAGTACTCTGACCACAGTGACAGCGATTGCAAAATAATGAATGAAAATGGCATTGTGCAGATTTTTTTTTTATTCCACAAAATCCAGCTCCGAGGGCTGAAAATGTGAAATGTACGGATGTCAGATAAACCTTTTGAGTGAGAAAGACACTCAAACCCAGGGGTTGAACCCAAGACCTCAGAATTGTCAGTTCAGTGGCTTCGACATGGCCATGACGAGCCAGTTTCGCCATCCAGCCACCGCTTTGTGATTTTATTTTTGTATATTTCATCGCCAGTGGTCCAACACCATTAATAGTTAATTTAAATCATAATAAAACACAGAGGGCAATCGCTTTATTTTTTATTTTATTATTTTTTCTGTGTCTGCACGTGAAATATTTAAAGGCATTGCCTTTCGGGCTGGGAGAATGTGTTTGTGGGCATATAAAATACATATTATTTTGCTTTTGAAGTCTTTAATCGATGGGTTTCTCTGAATCTTAGAATTTCAAACACTGAAAGTGATCCAACATGTGCCATAGCTTGGCTGTTTGAGTCTCGGGCTATTCTACAGAATTTTTAATATCATAATTGTCCCAGATTTTATGGCTATGTAAATATTCACAGCCTCTGCTATTCTATAAATTGTAATGATTTGGTGTCACAATTCAAGAGGACAGGTTTTTGCTATTGCGCCCCAGGTAGCATCTATAGTGGCTGCAGGGTTTCCATTCGACCTGTAATGAGTCACTCACCACTCATTTCACTTCGCTGAAATTCGATGTCACAATTAGAGCTCTCTTTTCGATTTCAGAATCAGGTCTTTTTTTGTCTCTGTACCATCTCATCTGTACGGTCTCAGTCGTTTTAATCTTAAACTATTTTCCCAGCACCATCTTGTATGTATAATCTGTACTGTTACATATGTGTCATGTTTGAGGAAAGAGACTTTGAAGTCATCGTCAGGAGTGTGCGCAGGTTTTATCATTTCAGTGATGAATTACATTTTCAAAATGATTTTTAGAAACATGCCTGTGAGTTGCAGACGCATGTGCAACTTTTGTTTCGCCTGTGTCGCAGCGCATGACAAATAGAGCAACACATACAGCAACATTGTTGCAAGAAAATGTATTGTTTGATTTCGGATAAATAGTATGTTAAAATCATTTATTCCTTGCCCCCCCCCCCCCATTGTTTGCTACTCATTCTCCAATTCTGCCTCCACCTCTCATTCACTCTTTCTCAGCTCTGCCTTCATTCTCTCCCCACTCGTCGTTGCACTCAATCTCATGCTCCCCTCTTGTCCCCTCCCTCCTTCTTTACTCACTCCACCTCTGCTTTTTCATTCCTCGGCAATAGTATTTCATGAATAGCAATACTAATGCATGCAGTCAATTATACATTTGTAGCAAGACTTGTGAGAAATTGCCCTTCATTGTTTCGTAGGTTTAAAACAGTTACTTGTTCTATGAAATCTCTTTCCACGTGCTCGTTCTCTTAACACACGGGGTTGCATTACTCTGCAATAATTTTGAATGAATGCTTTGTCCCAAACACACGAGATGTCAACAGCTCGATTGAACAGAAATTGTCAAAAAAACAATAGTTAAAATATGAACTTTATAAATAATTACATACCGTAGTTCTGTGGGAGTCATCAAGCAGAAGCCATTCTCCATCATCATGTGATGTTTCTGCTGTTAGTGAGGGTTCTAAATGTCTTCATGTCGTGACAAAATGTCACCCACATAATAATTAGCATGTTCTAGGGATAAGAGAAGAAAATATTTTGAATGTCACATTAAACTATCGCCTACGAGAATAAAATTAGTTCTGCTTGTTTAAAGTTATTGAGTTCTCACATGATACTCAATTCCTGTGTTAATTTTGTAAATTATCCACTTTGCCGTGGTACATTAGCTTGTTGATACATGTCGCCTGTGAGTAAGTTATGTAACCATTGTGTGGTTTGGTGTTTCCTCTCAACATATCTTCCCCATTCCCTTTTCCTCTCTCCTCTCCCTGTTTCTCTGTCTCTCACAGGCAGTACTCCAATACGAGGTAAGGCTGATGTCACGATGCGTTCCCCATTTATATCTTCCATGTCAATGGAAGGCCCGAAGATCGATTTTATTTTAAACTCGAAGTCAACTGGCACCTTTTGAGACTCCACTTCAGCAGACTGAGTCTTAAAATCAGCGTTGTTTTGGGACCTTTCTCATGTCATTATGATGATAATTACTGCATCGCAATCATCATTAACCTCTCATCTTGCCATCCCTGTAACTGCAGGGGCCCTTCAAATTGAGAACAGCCAGGATTCGGACCAAGGCAAATACGAGTGTGTGGCTACAAACAGTGTGGGTACACGCTTCTCTGCGCCAGCCAAGCTCTTCGTTAAAGGTACGAATGCTTAACCGAGTGAGAGGTCGATTGTGTCTGTGCCAGGACGACGCTGTCTCCTTACCCCATCGTGATGTTATTAAGCGTTTGGCTTAGTGGTGTGAGGTATCTAGGGCTTGCCTCGTTTGTCTGCCCAACCAAGCTTCCTCCTAGGTTTCATGGCCAAGGAAACTGCCCTTGCTTTAGGCCTCAGCTCAGGCACTTTTAATTTTGTGCGGAGTTTGTGAAACATTAATAATTAAGGAAGATGCTATCCAAGGAACAAACGGCTATTCCATTTTTGATATGTACCCAGGTTCTGTGTCCTGAACTGTCCAAGATGAGTTTAAAGCTCTGTTAATGAGTATAAGGACTTTACAATTACGGTCAGAAGCATCATTTGATTGTGAAATCATGTCACGAGAGTGTTATGATGATGTGCTTGACCACAACTTGAAAGTCTTTTTTTCTCACGAATGAAGCTCCAAGCTAATTTTGGACAGCCTAGGACACACATTCAAGGTGTGTATCTACAATATTAGAGCCATTTGTTTTTGGGATTTTTCGTTAATCGTATGAGAGGATGTTGAGCTAATTTGTGAACAAATAAACTGTTAAGTTTTAACGTTGAAATTTTAAGCTGCTGATAAATCATAAATACATGTTTTGTTAAGGTATAACCTGAGCTATGATCTGACTCGTTCATTATTGATCGGCCAGTTTCACTCATTTACCGTGGGTTATAATTAAAGGTTTCATATGTTGAAGAGGAATATTTTTACACGTATAATAATTTGAGATTAATATCTTAATTAGATTGAAAAAATATTACCACTTTGAGCTCTAATTTGACACCTTGCCTTTCATTTTCATTAGGTATTTTATTATACAGTACAGTATTACAGTGACTTAGAGGTGCATATGAAACAGTGAATATGAAATTGTGTTTTTATTAAATGCAATAACATTTTATGCAACATATTTACAACATCATATTTTACCACGTGTTTTCCAATTATCTTGTGGCACTGCGGTTCACTCGCGTGAATAAAGTTGCAAGATCAACCAACATCCGATGAGGGTTGACTTAGCATATCATGCCTCCAAAGGTCAACAAATTAAGTACCACCTTGTTGGAAGTCAACAATGGTTATCCTTGGGAAAGAATGGCCCTCAACTTAGGAATGGCTGACTCAGGTTGCACCGGTTGGACTTAACCTTGACTCGCTATTTTAAATCAATGTGTCATCTGCTGTAAAGTGGATGTTTAAAACCCTGTGACATTATTCGCGATAAACACAGGCCATTGCGAGCCACGGGTGACATCACAGCCCAGTTGTCAAATTTCCTTGAAAAATTACCACAGTGTCGTGGTCAATCTCAATCAGCTCTCACCTACTTAAACAAAGGGCACAAGTGGTGGTTCATTTAAATGTTACTTATCTAAACGTGTTTATTTCTGCGAGTCACTCACCCCATACAAAGTCAGCACCATTGAGGCATCAGATGAAACCCTGGAGCCGAGTGTCTTTCTATGGCTGTGCTCAAAGGTTTCATATTAGCTGTGTTGGAGACACTGAGCTGGCAGCGTTGAGATCACGGATTTGGATCTCGGTCTCCACCCACCCGCGATGAAAGCAGGTCGTCATGTGTAGTGAGTTCAATATCGAATCCCATGAATCGATGACTACAAATTTAAAAAATAATACATTACAGATTGGTTTTCTCACTTATTTAGGCTGAGGCCAGCTCATATACATAACATAATTGAGTATGGGTTTATTGACACACGGTGCACCACTCTTTTTCTGATCGCCATTTAGTGTTGGCTAAGAGAGGCCTATTACAATATTGAAGTCGTGGCTTCTATTACAGTGGGGTCTGTGGCGTCATCTTCCAGGGCTGTTGCTTCACGTGAAGTTATCTTAAAGAGGTTCTGATGCCTGTTAGATAATTGGCTTTGCCTAAACGTAACAAACCTCTCATGGAAGATGGAACCTAATAAACAAACAACTCTTATATTTAAGATACATACCTGAGTTTTGTGTTCCTAACTGACAGGAGCGTGAATTTTCGTGCAAAAAAACTATTGAATGCTCTCGTGATGTCAATAAAGGAACGTATTGAAACACATGCGATTGACTTTAATTTTAAATTCGTTTTTCTCACAAACGAAGCTTGAAACTTGTCTCTGAGAACCCGGGACACACACCCTAGGTATGTATCTAAAAGATAAGAGCCGTTGATTGTCTTAGTTGTATCTGTAAAGGAGGTCGTTGTGTCTTCACATGCATGGTGTCAGGATTCCGCAGTATCTCGAGGCAGCATTTAACTTCACAGATCCCCGTGTCATTTTCCGAATCGCGTTGTATCTTAATGCGTTTGAATGCCGGCATTTTTTACTCTCTATGTTTTCCCTCGATGTTGTTGTTTTCGACCCCTTTCCCTGACCTCCCCGAATGCTCCAATCCCTCCCTCTCCCCCTGCGTTCTCTGCATTTCCCTGGGTTTTTTTTCCTCCTCCCATTCCATGTCATAAAAACGCTAACCACAACACCACCACCACCTCTCCCCTCATCTCCCTTCAGGACTCCGAAAAGGTCAGTGTCTGTGTGTTTAGTGTAGTGCCTGGTTTCGTTTGGGTCCCCCCCCCTCCTAAATGCATCATACGATCTTCTGGCCGAATTTCAGTCGGTGAACATATATTTTAAAAATTAGTTTTATTGATTTCACGAGGTCTCCGCGGGATCGCCGTTTAAATTTACAATTTCATCAAATAAAAAAAACTCTTGAAATACAAATATTGAATTCAATAAAATTTAATCAAGGATCGTTTTGATTGTCGGTCGTTTGACGGTGAATGTTGCTGCATGTGCATGCCTAAATATAAATCACAACCGCTTACGTATTGAGCAGACACATTACCGGTGTAATGACAAGGACAACAATGGCGGGTGTGTAAGTTACGCTGAATGCATGTGTTGGGATGTGCATGTGAGCGAGAATTTCCTCCGTACATGGGCTATTTTTGTTAAAATCTCTATATGACACGGGGTAAGGTTCACATCGCTCCACTTCATCCATCTACTAATGCCACCTGCATAGTGTGAATATTCCTGTGTGCCTGTGGATATATTGTGGGTATGGGGAGCGTTGGCACAGTGGTTCGTGCACTGTCACGAACCCGCCCACCTAGGTTCGATTCCCGGCCATGGATAATATCAGTGGCAAGTGTTATCTGAACCTGTCCTGGGCCTCCCCTAGGTCAACTGAGTATTTAAAACTTGCAGCACTCACCCCTCCTGCCCCATTCTGGCCTTTGAAGGGGCTCGCAAACAGCGCTTGCTGCCTGTAAAGATGATTGTGGTTGTGTGTATGTATGAATCAGAGTTAAAATTAACGAACAAAACAGCTTGCAAAATCACTCTATTTCCTTATTGGAATTCAGCCAATTCATTGCACACTTAGTGAATAGGAATGTTTATGCAGTATTCTGAGTCCTATATTCAGAAACCTTGTTGAATTTCCAAACTTCATTAGAAATCTCCTGCATTGGAATGTGGGGCCAATTAGCATTTTGTGTTATGTGTTATGTAATGTGTATAGAAGGGTGATATATGAAGTGGGGACTTAGCTGCTGTTCGTAATGACTTTGGTGTGTTTCTTTAAGAAACAAAAACTACAAAGTGACTTTGCAAATTGTTTGAACATTGTTCATGTCACTACAAACTTTCAGCAGCATACACCACAATCGCAGGTTCGGAGGTGGCTGGGTGGCTCAATGGGTCCCTAATGGATGTGAGATAGACACTGAGCCAGCATTACTGAGATCCTGGTTTTGAATCTGGGTTTAACCACCTATGATGAAACTGGGTTTTCAAGTGTAATTAGTTGATGATCTGAGCCTGTTTCGATTTAAAGCTTTCGTGACTGCAGGGATTCATCTTCTTGGTTCTTTCGGTAAAGTCACGTAGAAGGGAAATAATAAATTAATAAAAATAAAACATAATAAAATAATTCTCACGATGTTTCGGCCACAACGCAAGCAGCCGTCCTCAGGTGAATGGACGCTGTCTTTCCGACAGACCTGTTCTTCACCTGAGGACAGCTGCTTGCGTTGTGGCCAAAACGTCATGAGAATTATTTTATTATGTTTTATTTTTATAATTTTATTATTTCCTTTCTACGTGACTTTACCGAAAGAACCAAGAAGATCTGAGCCTGGCTAAAGTATGACTGCCAAGTGACAAACACCCTTTGCCGGGAATTACAAATCTGTGTTCCTATTGTAGATTTGTAATTCTTTGAACTGAAATGTCTTGGCAGTCCTCTGACTTGAGTTGATGTTAAAAACATATTTCAGCAAATTTCCAAATAGAAATTTCCAAATGGAAATGTTATAGTCTCATTACAATACGATGCCAATAGTGCACTCGAAATATAATTGAGAGAATTTGAATACAGGCGGTCCCCATTTTTACGATACAATGAGTTCCTGGAAACCCGTAGAAACAGTAAAAGCATCACGTTCCGGTGCGTTTTAATTTCATCAGACATATTTAATAGGGTTTAAGAGGTAAAATTGCACAAAAACACTTGAGAATAACAAAAAGCTCCACGCCAAGTCACATCGAAAGCAGACTGACTGTTCAAATTGTGTTCAGAGTCATGTCGAAAGATGCGTCGTGAATCAAATTTCTGCGTCGCAAATCGATCCATGGTGGCATATTAATGTCATAAATGTGGATCGTAGTAAATGGGACCTTCATAAACCAGAGACTGCCTATTTTGAAAAGAAAACACCTCCTTCCCCCCTCCTTATTTCATCACTTTCGCATCATGATCACCATCCCAACACACGGTTCTGACGTAGGGGGAAGTGGAGTTGTTTTATATAAAAAAAAAATCAAATTAAAAATTTCCGACCGTCGTTTGCCCGTCCGAACAACTGCATGTGTCTCGTATGTTGTGCATGTGTCGGTAATGCATGTGTTGTTTGTAATCTGAGCATGTGTTGTAAGTGCAAGCTTGCTGTTGCCTATGACTTTACTGCATGCCCTGTCCGTATACAAAGCAAAATAATACAATATTAGGAGGTTTGTGGACAAGCATTCCGAGGTTTACTTAACTTACCGTAAATATGTGAACATGAAGAGTAGAAATTACCCTAAATCAGTGCAATGGCATTCAAGGTGTTGCTACTTTTTTTCTACATTCAAGTGCTTGGAGGAACTGATCCCCACTATAGGGATGTGGATTTTTTTTACCATTGGCCCATGGCCACCAGTGGAGATGGCTGCTGCCCTTTGCTGACTGGAGCAGGGAAACGCTTGGACTTTATACACAGGACAAAATGACACGAAAATACAGCAGATTACATTTATTGTGAATTGTGCTCAACATAGGTCTCGTCATACTGAACTATTATAAGACTGCCATCGCAGACTTCCCTTTGCTCATTTCTTCACTCTTGTCTTCTTCCCCCACTTATTTGACCAACATCTGCTGCTGACATGCGCGGGACCCATACCACCATCCCAATTCTCAATGCGTAGTGTGAACTGGACATCAAAACATTTAGGCCTCATCCTATGGTGTCAAATAGGCATACAAACTCACAGGACCAATACATACTTTTGACATTTTCTAAGTGAGTACATGTAGAGCCTGCTGGGTTTGTGAGTAAACACTTTTTAGTGGTGATATCAATGTTGCTGGGTTTTTAAATTCCTGTGTGAGCCATTTGCTGATTTGTCATTGGAATGGCCCAATACCTTGTTTCCTCTGTGCTTTATTTGTCAATATGTTGTTACTTTAGTGTCATGGAGGATTTTTTTCTGTTTAGTCATTTGGAGACAACATTTATACGTTGAATTGAGAACTCTAAAAGCAGTGGGGTACCATGCCCTTTCAAGGGAACATTTTTTGTGTGAAGGAACAGATGGCACTTGCAATAACTGCAGAGCAATACTTACCACCTTCTTATTCTATGACGCTATGCCTGTGTGCATTGTTCAGCTCCGATTAGCACGGTTGGCTACGTATGGTGCGAAAAAGGTTCAACATACACGTAAAAATGAATGGCATACAGTAAACACATTTACAGTACACATTAAATAAGCATGAATAATTATTAATAATTATTATTGCTTATTTAATAATTGGTAATGCTTATTTAATAATGATAAATCATTATAATTATTAGTGAGTGACAAATTATCGACAGTTCACAGTTGTCATTATTAGGTTTGCAGTGGTGGGAAAGGGCCTAATTAATAGTACCTGGGAACACAGTCGACTGTGAGCAGTATTAATAAGGGGCTAATGCATAATTCAGCGTGGATAACAAAGGGGGCATTTTGACAAGTTGTGCAATTGCTCTGTAATCTTCCTTTTCAGTTAACAATCTGAACTTTTTGGTTTGTTCAAACTTAAGGCCTAAATACATAATGAGCTCCCACGGGGAACAAGTGCAGTACACAACATTCTATGGAAGGGGAGTGAAACTCCGTGTTATGTACTGTAGTGTCATCATAAACTACAATAATTATCTAAAATTATGTTTCAGTCATCCGTTACGTTTCCGGCAAGAATGCAGGTGTTAAGATGTTCAAACACCAAATAGACACCTATTACAAGGCATCTAGTCTGCATTAACCACACTCCTTGTGGAGGAAAGTGCAAACAAATATAGTACTTTGATAATAATATATGCACCGTCCTTGAAACTGATTGCCCTTCACCAGAAATCGACTCTTTTATGGCTTTGTCTCACCAGTGTGAGACCAAAGGCTGCCAAAACGCGAAACAGTTCAAGGATAATGCGAACACCAAAGCATTAATAACTCATGTTAAGCGGTTATCATACAATATCTTGATACTGACAAAAGGGCCTCATAGATACATCCATTACACATGAAAGATGTTTATGTGATACAACGCATGGTACACCATTGTTTAAAATCAAAGCACATTGTTCCTATTTGGGCTTTTTTTCCCCTTTGGCATCAAGAGCACAGGTTGGCGATTGTTTTTTGCTGCTTGCTGTATGACCATTTACTCACCATAATCCTTCTGCGGTCAATAGAATGATTAGCACCGTTTTTTGGCAAGTCAGCAGTATTTTGTCTTATTTATAGACTGGTCCCCGCCACGGGCATGCGGTATGACTACCCTCTAGCCCGTGGCCACCAGCATAGATGAACACTGCCCATGGATTATTTGAGGAGGGTAGACACTTTGACTTGATTTTAAATGATCACATTAATAGGAATGTGATTCTGATATCACACAGCGTTTTATTAACGTATTTATATTGCACACAAATAACATGCATAAAGTTTTCCATTTACCATAATACTAATTGGCACTGTAAGATACACCCTTAAATGATACTTTTGACAGATAGCACAGAGCTAAATAATAAATCACTCATTAGCACTGCCAAATATAGTGTATGTTAATTGTGTATTTGTACTTGTGTAATATAGATATGTGTTCATATTCAGCACGTAAATGCCATGACTGTGAAGTCAACAGTGGTTCTATTAGAGGGACTGACCCCTGCCATAGGAACGTCGAATTGTCACTGCTGGTTCAGGGTCGCCAATGTAGATGAGTGCTGGGCCCACAACTCGTTTGAGCAGGAAGCAATTGACTTTCTGACTGTTTACAATTTACAATTACGTACGTGATTATGTGCTTGCATGTATTCAGGTCACTATCATTGAGTTTCCAATTCCATGTTTTGCTCGAAGAGGTGTTGTTTATTATATTAAAGCCTTTATCCCACTCAAGAGCAGCACATCATCTTACATGTCCTTCATTTATTTATTTGCTTATGTCTTTAGGATGCAGTGAAAAAGAAGAACAGATTTATCTTTAATGTATATTTTTCTAAGCGGAGTAATTTCTCCTACCTCTAATTGGAAACCAATTAAGTGACTGCCTGTGTATCACAATGTGGTCCACATGTATGTATGTGTGCGTGCACACATACATACATATTGATATGCACTTATTGAAGTGTATACGGCATAGCATTGTGATGTGCGTGCACACTGATGTGTGCATTTGATGCATATGCACGCTGCTATGCATCAACAGGGAGATCTGTGTGCACTGAATCACATGCAAGAGAGCGCACGTGTGTATGCACATGTGCATTATTAAAAGAAGACACTCCTAGCCTGACCACGTTATGTCTTGATTGAGACTCGGCTCCAGAAAAACGCATATCGGGATTGGAATCTTCATTGAAATTCAGCTGCAGGAAACCGGGTCTTAGGATGAGATTCAATGAAGGCTCCAGATTCTATCAACACTCTAATCCTGAAACCCAGTCTCCCAGAGCCACATCTCAATCAAGACTCTTGGTCACAGAAAAGTGGCAAGGTTTTTCCACTGCCTTCAGTTAATTTGTTCGCATGCACGTGAATGCGAACACATGTGATTGTGTGACTTAATTACTTTGCTTTGAATGCAGGTTCCCGCACACACAAACACACAGTTGGGTGTCTCCCAGTGTCTGTCTATGTATGTGTGTGAATGTGCCCGGAGTTCGATTCCCGCTCATGACCAACACCGGTGATAATTTGATTAACTGGTTCTAGGCTTCCCCTAGATCGACTCAGCCTAAAATGTGTATCTGGTGCGGTGTGTAAATGTCTTGCCACTCGTGAGACAGAGGCAAATGGGCGTGGAACTGGCCACCCACCTCCCTCGTGTGCCGTGTCGGCCTGCATCGGTGCTCGCTAACAGCACTTGCCCAAACAGTATTTTAAGGCTATACAGGTGATCTTCATCTTTGATGTAATGGCTAGCGCAATGCGCTACAAATCTAGTGACTTGAGTCTAATTCCCGGCCATGAATAACGTCACTGGCAAGGGGTGTCTGAACCTCAGCCTTAAATAAGTACTTGATGCAATGTATTAACACTGAAAGCGACCAGTTGTGGTGCTGGCCACATCACCAAAAGTCTTAACAGGTGCTCACGAACAACATTTGTCCCAAGGGTCTATAAGTCTAAATGGAAACGCTTTGTCTGTTTTGTACATGTTTGTGTGTGTCTATGCTTGCGCCTATTGTGTGTGCCTGTTTCTGTACGCGTGTACGTGTTTGTGTGTGAGTTTACGTGTGTGTGTGCGTGTGTGTGTGGGAGCATGTTAATAAAACATGTTAGGGTTATGCACATTGATGTCGTACGTGTCATATCCGCATAAAATTGCATGTGCATGCATTTGCTAATGTTTTACTAATACGTGTCAATGTGAATGCACGCGTAAATGTATTTGAATGCATTGGGTTAACGTGTGTGCATATTAAAATATGTGCTTATATAGTATTCATATTTGTGCATGCTTTGTGTGTGTGCATTTGCATCTACGTTTTAATTTGCTTGCTCCTGTATATGTGTGTGTGTGTGTATGTATGAGAGCCTCCGTGTTTGTGCTTATGTGCATGCTGGTGCATTAATCTGTGTGTAAGTTTTCATTGTTTGAGTGTGCTTGCATACATATGAATACAAAATTGTGAATTTTCTTCAACCCATTCTGTTCCTGGCCCCATGTGTCTTATATGTGTGTGTGTATTGCAACAGTCAAACTCTGTTTATCTGGGGTAAACGGGAGAACAGGTACCCGGTTCCTAATATTCATGGTTCCAACTGAGCATTGACTTTAATCGAGGGGCCGTGGATTTCTCCGGATAATTGTAAGAATTTGCCGAATGATTCCACTTATCTATGGTCTAGATCCGGGATAATTGGAAGAATTTTGCCAAATAACTCGATTTATCCGTGATCCCGAGTGTGGATATTTGGAAGAGCCCTGCCCACCTGTGACATGTGACGAAAAAACCGAACCAGATGGGGCGCGGGCAGCAGGCAAGGCCGTGGGGGCCGTCGAGGTCATTCTGTGACGAAGGTTTATGTCACAGGACGAGGTCGCGATCATCAGATGCTTGCCCCTCAGGCACCAGTCCGACGCAGTCTCTGCGAACAGGATGGCAAGCGGGCTCCCCTTCTCATACCCATCCCTCGAAAGCATTTGCCCACCTGCAGCAGCACTCGCATTGCATGCAGGGCTTGGATGTTTGGATGGCCAGATATTTGGAATAGAGAATCGGGTTTTGCCAACCCCGGATATGCAAATTTGCGGATAATTGGGTAACGGTTAAACAGTTTGCTGGTATCTGTACACTGTTGTTTGTTAAGTATGTACCCGTTGTATCCTATTATGTGTGTGCCTATGTGTTTGTCTCACAAATGTAAGTGTGTGTATGTCTCCCATGCCTGTATGTGTTCGTCTCGTGTTTGTGTCTCCTGTACGTGCATGGATACAACCCTGTCTTCTCTCTTGTGTTATGTGTTTTCTGTACATGTGTATGTCCTGTATGTGTATTAGTTTGTGCATATCCAGCATGGGTGTTCCCGTGTGTGTGTGCCCCGGTATGTGCATGCATATGTCTCCTGTTTGTGCATGTACGTCTCTTGTATGTAGACATGTGTGCCATGCACCCACAGTGTTCTGTGCATCTGTCGTGCAGTGCGAACCATCCCCCCTCGCTTCACCATCGTCCCAACCAACCAAGAGGTGGTGCCTGGCGGTAGCATCAACATCACCTGTGTGGCCATGGGCTCCCCCATGCCCTTCGTCAAGTGGATGCTTGGCACGCAGGTGAGGCAGCCCGGGTCTCACGATACTTGACTCCAGGAGACTGGGTTTTGAAATCGGTCTCAGCTCGAGGAGACTGGGTTTTGTGATCAGAGTCTTGTGTACACTGTCTATATTTTTATTAATGAAATAACAGGTTAGTTAAAAACAATAGTGCCCTTTAGCTTAAACGTCAGGATCTTTTATTTACTAGAAGTTCACTACAACAGCATATTGATAGCCTACGTTTGTAAATGTGTAACTATATTTACATGTGCTGCATTGTGTCAGAAAACGGCTTAATAGCCTTTATGTACACAAATAATGTTGCAAATTTCACCTTGCCATACAAAATAAGAATGATGCATAAATTAATTGATTAACATTGATTCCCAAGCTCAAGTAAGAATAAGTGTATTTTAATTTAAATAATTATATGTTATAATGGCTTCACATGGAACTCTGCAGTTACTCGGGGTTGCTACATTTATCATAGTTTCAAATAATTGTTGGTTCTTGAAGCAGCTCAGGACCCTGAATCGCGACAGTTTGTCTAATCACAGAGGGAGGTTGGGTCGTTAAACCCCTGGTTGTGGACGCGGTTGTGGATATAGTCGTGGTCACATGGAATTAGTTTTCAAGTTGGTAGGTAAGCAGCCACGAGTTGGTAGGTAAGCAGCCCGTGAAGCCAATTTTTGGGGTGGGTAGAGCAAAACGTATCTTGTCTCCTTTCAAAAATATGTGGTGAGAGGGCAAATCACTCCCATTGTATGTTTCCCAAACTTCTGCCCGACTTTCCGCAGGCTCTGACCCCAGCCGACGAGATGCCTATCGGACTGAACATGCTGCAGCTCACGGACGTGAGGAGCAGCAACAACTACACGTGTGTGGCTATGTCCTCGCTGGGAGTCATCGAGGCCGTGGTGCAGGTGGCCGTGAAGGGTGAGGATACACAGCAGCAGCAGCAGTAGTAGCAGTCGTAGTAGTAGCAGCAGCAGCAGCAAGCAGCAGCAGTAGTAGCAGCAGCAGCAAGCAGCAGCAGTAGTAGTTGCAGTCGTAGCAGCAGTAGTAGTAGCAGTAGTAGCAGCAGTAGCAGCAGCAGCATTAGTAGCAGTAGTAGCAGCAGCAGTAGTAGCAGCAGCAGCAGCAATGCTGAAGCATCCCCATAGCGAATTGTAGATGAGTCATGCTGAACAATATTTAAGCATGAAGCGGCATGAAACATGCACACATTCAGAGACCTGTTTTCCTAAAAAGACAGCTCAATGCATTCAATATTTATTACATGCACATACTGTACACACTACATAACGCATAATACTCTTAACGTACACGAACCAAGTGGATTGTGTCTCTTGGGGTGCCATGTGCTGAGATGTTATCTCCTTTTGATTGCTATGTCGGATGTCCTGGGTTTGATCCTGACGCTGACGATGCCTATTGTATATTTGAAGTTTGCATGGTCTCTCCACCTGGTGGTCCTTCGATTTTGCCTTCCACATTTAAAAACATGCATTTAAATTTCGATTTAAAGCTTTCGTGACTGCAGGGATTCATCTTCTTGGTTCTTTCGGTAAAGTCACGTAGAAGGGAAATAAAAAAATAATAAAAATTAAACATAAAAAAATAATTCTCACGACGTTTCGGCCACAATGCAAGCAGACGTCCTTAGGTGAATGGACGCTGTCTTTCCGACAGACCTGTTCTTCACCTGAGGACGGCTGCTTGCGTTGTGGCCGAAACGTCGTGAGAATTATTTTATTATGTTTTATTTTTTTATTTCCCTTCTACGTGACTTTACCAAAAGAACCAAGAAGATGAAATATGCATTTAGATTATTTGGCTGCTACTAAGAATTCCCACGCATAATAATCCACTTTGATGAGTTAGCGTGTGAGGCCAGGTCACTTCTGAAGAAGAGCTAATAGCCCAGCGGGCTTTACTTTGTCAATAAAATTGTTTAGTTTGTCATGTCTGTCTCATTTGTACTCCCCCATTCATATTGTTTGTATATTTGGCATTTCTTAATTGTTCTTGTCTCATTTATACTTTCATCTGTCCGTCTGAGGACATATCACATTCTACATGTTGCTGTTTGTTCTACCTTCTACCTTCTCGTGTGCACTGTTTCATCTTTACTTTGTCACATCTTTGCTGTCTCAAGGAGAAATGTGCACGAATTGGAAACTATTCTCACACACACTTGAACGCCTCAATTTGTCAGCATTTATATCGATTTCAGTCGATCAATTGTGACTTATCTGATGGTTACGGAATATGGTATATTGTTAAGGATATCTTATAGGCTACTTATTGAATTCATATTCTATGCTTTGATTGGTGTAGACCTACTGCGGTGTCAGAGCCTTTTACATTAACATTATATGCCCCGCCCATCTCTAAACCTTTATAAGCAGCTTGCCCCCAGAGGCTAACCTCCCTGTTCCTGATGACGACCGCTTGTGTTGCAATCGAAACGTCGTGATATTTTTCTACATTTTTATTCACGTTTAATTTTAATATTAATTGTTAGTATTTTTTCTATCTACGTGACTTTACCGAAAGACTATAGAATATGAATTCCTTGGCAGTCAAATGACTTCTTGAATTGGCTGGGAAATATTTCGTTGTCTAAGGACACTTCACACTCATTCTTGAAAATGACAAAACCCCTGAACAAACTGTGACAAAATGCACCACCTCGAATTAAAGAACGTTATGCTGCGCTGCAGCCTCATTTGCGCACCCGTGTAGAATGCGTGCACGCATGCACCTGACGCCTCGCCATTAGCATGTGCATTTGCCTGTTTCTTTGAGCACAGCTCTTGGTCGATTCGAGTCCCTGAACAGATTGTTCTCTCCCTTAATTGACTGCCTTGCTAACTTGTTCTGTCACTTACAGACCCTCCTCGGAATAACACGAGCAGATATACCCTTTCCCGCATACACCGGATGGGTTTAGGTGTACCGCAGAATTTCTTTTACTAATAATTAATAATTGCAACCCCCGAAGCTTATAGTGAAACAGCGTGCAAAGCAATTCGACTCGTTGATGGCTGCGTCTCCCCAACGCGTAATGTCACGTTCCAGGCAGTCCCAGAGTCCTGTATTGTAACCCTCTCTCCACCGCTGCTGCACCACCCGTTTAGACCAAATTTATTATATTGCTTGTCATTTGGAAGTTATGTATGCCTTTATCACACGCTATTTGTGTTTTAATCTAATATGAAATGTTGAATACTCGACAAAAATTGCAATCTGTAATTTGGTACCTTTGTCTTCATGGAATTAGCTTGGTATTTCAAAGACACACTGCAAATGATAATGATTTGCATTTATAGGTTTATATGCCTCAGCAACTCAAAGCACCTTGGATCACATATCCTCTTAATTATTCCAATGGCACGCTGTATTTTGTTTGTTAGCCTAGAGGACTCCCTAATGGCAGCTGTCCCTGTGCCGTTCAAGGTGAACGCAGCACCAGCCTGCGAGTGACCATGAGTCTCCAATGACACGGGGTGATGTTGCAATGTGGTCTTCATCAGCATCGTCATCATCACGATCCATGGTTCAGATAGCTTGTAGGTGTGCACTGCACATGTGGTCATTTGTTTCCACTTTCCTCTGCCCTGTGCCAGTATGCTCAAGTAGTGCCACATTTTTCTGGCACCGATCTCTTATGTCACCAAGCCATTTCTGTTCGGCTTTACTCTTGTTTCCTGTTTTCCTTCCATTTGGAGTTTGCATGTCTCGCTCCCCATGGTCGCGTGGATTTTTTCTCTGGGTCCTCTGTGGTTTTTCCCTCTCACGTTTAGAAACATACGTTTAGACTACTTAGATCATTTTGCTGCTATAAATGTCCAAATGATAATCCACTTTGTTGAGCGATCATTTGTGGCCAGGTTGCTTTTGGAAATTAAGTTAATACCTCAGTGGGTTTTGTCTGGTAGATGGGGATGGTTGAGTGTTATTTGTATTTGTTTGGGTGATTTGTTTACCTTTCTTGTACTTTTCACTCCGATTGTGTTTTTTTATTGGTTGTCATTGTAATGTTCTTACCCACCCCGACTGGACATCTCTGAAAAATAGCTTTATAGCTCATTGAATGAATTCTTTAGCAATATAAATACATATTTTGAAATAAATATTGTGATTTTCATTTTCCTGTTGTTCATCCTACACACGTGTCCAAATAGTGCCTTTTCATCGCTGCCTGTGGTTTTCACAATTCAGTCATTTGTCATTCGCTAACCTCGAACGTAATTCGTTACCTCCGCAATGCGCAGCCTTACCACGGCCTCCCGGGACTCCCCTCGTCACGGAGACCACGGCCACGAGTATCACCCTCACGTGGGACTCGGGCAATGTTGAGCCCGTGCTGCACTACGTGCTGCTGCTGAAGGCTCGGTCCGGCCACAGCAACAACCACAACAACAACAACGACAATGCCAACAACAACAACAGCAATGAGGAGAAGGAGGATGAGGAGGAATTTGGCAACAGCAGCGGAGGAGGAGGAGGTGGCGGCGCTCCCTCCATGCAGGAGATTGGACCGGTGACCACTACGCGATACACGGTGAGGAGACGCCTTGATCCGGTGCCAGCATTCTCTGCCCCTTCCGCCAGCTGCCCTCTGTTTGCATGACCTCAGGCTGGGCAATCACAGACAGAATCGTGTGTTTGGTGATTCCCAGCAGCTGTCTTCAAACTGTGTGGAATGTATTAATATATATTGAGGATGCCAGAACAACTTCCATTTTGTGGTTCTCTGTTAAACGTATTTAATAAAAAAGGCGTTTGACCTAGAGGAGGCAATTCTGTAGTAAACGTGGCACGTTGAAGACAAGCGTGGCAGCACACACGTGTAACTTTCTGTTTTAATTATCATTTTACGGAGGTTTTGAATTACTTCATGAAACATTTCACTTTGTACATTCATCTGTGGTTAGATTAGCTGGCACACATTATGTTACTTAATATTTTTTTTATTCTTGATTTTTTTACGACTATAATGGTTCACCAGTCCTGTGAAATAATTTTTTGGCACTCCTAAGACGTATAACAGTTTATTGGCACTTGATTAATAAAAACTGATGGCGATGATGCCGTCAAGGAAGGAGCAACCCATAAAACGAACAGCCTTTTTTCTTGTAGCAATAAAGCACAGTGTAATACAGGGCATTATTTCTTAATGCTACAATGCAGCAGGATGTAGTTTGATGCAATGCAATGTGAACGAAGATGCAACCCAAAAAGCAAACAGCTCTTGTAGCTACACACTCGGGATGTGTGTCCTAGGCTGTCCAAATGTCAAGCATTGTTAATAATATATGCATCAAAGTCACTTTCTTGCCGCTCTATTGACATCGTTGAAGCGAGACATCTTCTTCGAGCTCTTTGCCTAAGGGCAACTTCTTAGCTCAGGTTTTTTCCATCCTCTCCGATCTTGCACTTTCCTCCTCATTTCTTCACATCGCCTTTCAGCCTTCAATTTGTCGAGCAGCGCCTTCCTTGTTTTACCTCCCGGGAGTTTTCCTAACATCCTTAAGCAAGCTTTCCTCCAAAAATATCCCCGGTCCAGACATATTACCTTTTTTTGAATCGTCCTGGTGAATCAAAATCTTTATTCAGACTGGAGGAGTCCGATAAACTATGATGCTCTTTTTCACAGATGTCCAATCTTTTCTAGCACCTCATTATTCTTTCCTTTCTGTCCAGTTGATTTTCTTCATGTGGCGCCACACCCACACCTCAAAAGTTTGCCGCTTTCTGATGTCTTTCTCTCTCATTTCCAAAGTCTTTGCTGCACACAACACACCGCACTGCATGCTAGAGAATTCTACGAGTCTCTTGTTTAATTCTCCACCGATCCATTTTAGTGGCACTTTGTTCTTATCAGCAGCACGCTCTTCCGTCTGTCCGTGTTGCCACTGGTGGCCCTTTAGGTTGGCGGACTGAGCCCTTACTCGGACTACGAGGTGCGCGTGGTGGCCGTGAACGGCGTAGGGCGCAGCGCACTGAGTGGGGCGGCCCGCGCCCGCACCGGCGAGCGGGCGCCGTCCACGGCGCCGTGGGGCCTGCACGGCCGCATGGTGTCGCCGTCTAACGCGCTGCTCCAGTGGCAGGAGCCGGCCGAGCCCAACGGGCAGATCCGGGGATACCGCGTCTACTCCGCCAAGCTCACGGCGGCAGGCACACGGGGCCCCGGTGAGGAGGAGGTGGAGCAGGATGTGGTGGTGGTGGTGGTCGCGGTGGTGATGATGTTGGTAGTGAGGGTGGTTGTTGTGATGCTGTGGTATAAGGACAGTCGTGCTGCTACTGCTGCTGCTATTCATGACGATACCGACAATAGTGGTGTTGCTGTCATTCATGCTGATGATGGTGATGACAGTGATACTTTTGATCGTTACGATGGTGGTGATAATAATGAAGATAATGGTGATGACAAAAATTTAAATGGTGGTAATGATCTTACTATTTTTATAGCCACTGATAATAAGGTTGTTAACTTTGACAGTTTTAATGTTGATGCCACTGCTGCTGCTAAAGATGATGGTATTATTGTCGATGATGGAGGAGGAGGCTCGTGAATAACGCTACAGTTGCAGGCAGTCACCCTCCAACAACAACTGAGGACAGAGGAGCGACGGGTGGATAAAATACAGCAAGTTAACACAATAGGGGGTACAGCTGGTGCGTCTGCCAGTCATCTCAGTCAGTCAACCCATGGCACCTGGGTCTGTCCCGTGACCTGTAAGCGAGCCTTCGACACTTCACGTAGCCTCAAAGTGCACCTGACCTGGCACAGGTGCCGTGGTGACGCCACCATCTCTTAGTAGCGAATGGCAGGTATTGGTATTGTCGATGATACGGTTGCTGCTAATGATCCTACCAACTTCCCCCCTCTCTCCGTCTCTGCTGCCTGGCTCGCCACATGCCAGTGGTGACACCACCGCTGTCGTCGTGGATGAAGCGGAGTGTGGAGAACGTGCCGCTGGCCACGTTGTCGGGGCTGGAGGAGGGGGCGCTGTACGCCGTGCGGGTCCTCGCTTTCACCAACGTTGGGGACGGGCCTCTCTCCCCAGAGATACACATCATCGCACAGTTCGGAGGCAAGCACGCACGCACGCCCACATGCATGCATGTGTGTGTTTGTGTGGGGAGCAGTAGTATCGCGGTTAGCACACTGCGAAAAAGAAGTCACCCCCTGTGAGTGGCTGGCTGAGATGCCATCTGTTGAAGAAGCACTGAATGCGATGCGGAGTCTGAGACCAGGAAAGGCACCGGGCAGAGATGATCTCCCAATTGAAATAATGAGGGAGGGTGGCGTTTGTGCACAGACGGCCCTACATGACATCATAACAACAGTCTGGGCCGCTGGACGGCTTCCGCGGGATTTGAAGGATTCCCTGGTGGTTCCCCTCTTTAAGAAGAAGGACCGCACAGACTGTAACAACTACAAGGGCATCTCACTCCTCAGTGTGCCGGGAAAGGTCCTGGCAAGGATTATTCAACATCGCCTTGCTAGGCACGCTGAGGAGAGGCTTGCGGAGCCCCAATGCGGTTTCAGGAAAGGGCGGTCCTGCACAGATGCCATATTTTCTGTCTGTCCGCTACAGCAGAGGTGTAGGGAATTCTAAGAAGACCTACATCTCTGCTTTATTGACCTTGTCAAGGCCTATGATACCATCAGTAGGCCTGGGCTTTGGGTTGTTCTTCGTGCTTTCGGAGTACCTGACCCTCTGTTCATGATCATTAATGACCTTCATGATGGTGAGCGGGCCCGGGTAAAACTTCGTGGCCAGGAGTTGGAGCCATTCCCGGTACATCTTGGGGTGCAACAGGGATGCCCTCTGGCTCCCACATTATTTAACATCTATTTCGACCACATAGTGAAGCCTTCAATAGCTGTACCGGAGGAATTTCCATCTGGTATAGATACACTCCAAATCAGTCGAGCAGCATTATCTTTTCATCGGTTGCGTAACGCTGTGTGGAAGCTACTTGGTCTGTCGCTCCATACGAAGCTTCAGGTCTTCTCGGCCACAGTCATTGCCTCCCTTCTCTATGCTTGCGAAACGTGGACCCCCCGAATGGAACATCTTCGCCGGTTAGAAACATTTAGGCTGGCCTGCCTACGATCCATCCTGGGTTTAACCAGGCTGGATTGTGTGAGGAGCTCACAAATCCTTGAAAGATCTGAGCAAAGTCCAGTCAGTGAGATCCTCCGGCAGGCAAGGCTGCGTTGGCTGGGTCATATAGCCCGCATGCCCAGCCACCGCATGCCTAAACAGCTTTTGTTCGGCTGGATCGAAGGGGCTAAACAGGTGCAGCACGGGCTAGAGAAGAGATGGAGTGATGTGGTACAGGAGGATGTGGAGCTGAGTGAACTTGCCGATGACTGCTACCAGCAGTGTCAAGATCGGTTTCTGTGGAGGAGGCTCGTGAGGCATTCGCCCTCCAACAACAAAGGAGGGGGGAGGAGCGACGCTCACAACAATGAGCGGAGCGCTGGGTGGCTAAAGCACAGCAAGTTGGCACAGTAGGGGGCACAGGTGGTGCATCAGCCAGTCGTCTCAGTCAGTCGACCTGGGTTTGCCCCGTGACCTCCTGCCAGCGGACGTTCGACACTTCACTTGGCCTCAACGTGCACATAGCCTGGCACAAGTGTCGTGGTGACGTCACCGCCACTTAGTAGGGAATGGCGGTTGTTGTTGTTGTGTCTAAATGTGTCCCCTGACAGTGCCGAGTCAACCAATCAGCTTCAAGGCAGAGGCCGAGTCGGACACAAGCATGTTACTCTCATGGCTGCCACCGCGTCAGGAGAACATCCTGAAGTATGAGCTTCTGTACAGAGAGGGAGACACAGGGCCAGAGGTGAGAGACACTGCACGTTCACTAACACACTAACACACACACTCGAACACATTATCACATAGCCTTAATAGACTGTTGGGGCAAGTGCTGTTTGCAAGTACCTAATGTTTACACACTACACCGGGCACTTATTTGAGGCTCAGCCGACCTAGGGGAGGCCCAGGACCAGTCCAGATAATCGTTACTAATGTTAGCCATGGGCATGAATCAAACTCAGGTCGCCGGGTTCGTAGAGCAGTATGCTAATCGCTAAACTCCTGCTCTCACATATACACCCGGTCATAAACACATGCTAACAAACCTCAAGCTGAAACCTGGTTACACATTCAATGGTGCTCAAGCTCACAGCCTAATATTAAAGCACGCTTTTATTCGTTCCAAACCACATGCACACAGGTGCTCACACTAACAAACAATCACATACTAGCATATTCATACACAATACTTAATGTCATATGATGCAGACAGCACCTGTGAAGTTGAATTATGAAATATACTCCAAATAAAAAACATGGTCATGGAAACACACATTTGCTCACAGTATAAAAAATGCAGATTTTGGTGATGTTAAATGACTGTGCTCTTGATGATATTGGTAATCGTGTTGATGGTGATATTCATGTTTATGCAGTTATAATTGTGGTGATGTTAATGCTAATGATGCTGTTGATGCTTATGATGATGATAATATTCTCAACGACGATATCAAAGATGATAACGTTGATGTTTTGTTGGTGTTCTGTTATTTATGATGTTGTCTCAGCGCCGGCTCTCCCTTGACCCCACCATGAACCATGTCCTGGAGGGCCTGAGGGAGAACACCCTCTACTCATTCCGTCTCGCTGGACGCTCCTTGCACGGCCTGGGCCCCTACAGCCCCACTGTTACTGCACGCACACTTCCCACACGTATGCATACACGTGTACTATCACTCACATGTAATCACACACGTGTATATGCACGCGTACACACACTCATACACATACGAAGATCACCCCTTTAACACTGTAGAGTTGTTGGGGAAAGTGCGGTTAATGATCATTATTCCTAGCTCTTGAATGTCTATGCTTACAAACCTCATCAGATGCTCATTTAAGGCTGAGTCAATCTAGAGAAGGCCCAGCACTGGTTCACATACCAGGTTCCCTGATGTTATCCATATCTGAGAAAGGCATCAAAGGAGGCTGGGATCATACCACGGTATGCAAGCCACTACACCACTGTACACAAATACACACGTGTGTGTATATAAATACACGTGTGTATACTGTATATACATCGAATCAGGCCGGGTAGCTCTATTATCAGAGTTCTAGGCTTAAAGTCAGAAGGTTGCGAGGTCTAATTGGAGGGTTGACTCAGCCCTTCATTCCTGCGTTAATAAAATAATCTGTACTCCATGGGAATATAACAGTAGTCGCCCCGTGGACAGACTGGACACTGCCATGGGAATGTGGAGTTTAGACATTGCTCAGGGCCATTCACAGAGATGAATATCACCACATGATTGGGGTACTATAAATGTATCGTTGTGATTGTTTGGTTGTGGTTTCGATTGTGTTGGCAATGTTGTTTTGATTGTGGTTTATCGTTGTGATTGTTGTGGTTATGATGATGGTTGTGTGTTTGGATGTTATTTGGTTGTGAGTTTGGATGTTGCTGGAGTTGAGGTTTTGGCTGTTATTCGGGTTGTCGTTGTATGTGTCGTTGTCTGTTATTGTAATGGAATTATTTGGTTGTGGCTGTTTGTGATTGAGGTTGTGGTTGTGGCTAGAGTTGTGGTTGTTTCTGTAGTTGCGAGCGGAACTCCTCGGCGGGTGGAGGCCGAGGCTGTGAACGCGTCGGCTGTAATGGTGCGGTGGAGATTGCCACCATCAACATCATTATCGACATCGTCATCGTCGTCATCATCCCCTCCTCCACTTCCACACCCCTTGTTCCGCGTGCGATGGTGGAAGTCGGATTCGGCACAAGGAAGACAGGAGACCCAGTCACCGGACATCATAGGGCAGGTACACTCGCCAATACACTCTCCAGTGCACTGACTGGGGCGCTCACCGTTGCACTCACAAATACACTTATCAATACATTCGCCAATATACGTACTTGACATGTCTACTTACCATTACTCGCACTACACTCAACATTGCTCACCAGTACTTCTGGTCACAGGTACACTTACCAGAATGCATCACTGCACTGAATACACAGCACACTCACTAATACATTCGCCTGTATCATCACAACACTCACCAGTACACACATTGATATACTCATCGGCAAACTTAACAATACCCTCACCCATGCTCACAGGCATAAGCACCAATATGAAATGAGTGTACCTGTTCTTTCAGGTACACTCATCCCTACTAATCCATATATAATCACCACTCACCAGTACACTAACCAGTGCACTCATAAGTACACCAGGACCTTCAAGACTACGCTGCAACGCTGACACTCACCATCACTCCTGACTCAATATGATACTCCACTAACTCGTCATTACACTCACTACTCTCACAAACATGCAACAGTACTCCATGACACTATGAAACTCAACAATACACCTTTACTCTCTCACAGAGTGTTGGGTAAAATGGGATATTTAAAGTTTTGACATTTATGTAGGTCAGCATAGAACACAAATCACTTTGAAATTCCTCAGTAAACTGAACGAGGGTTTTGTATTACAATAAGAAAATTGCTAAATAAAAAAAGGAAAAGATAAAGTGTGCAATTTATTTTTCAAACCCTTACAATTTCCCATTTTACCCACACTTGGTAATATGCTATTTACCATTGAGGTAAAATGGGATACACACTCGTGTTTGCAAATTACGAGCGGAAATATATAACCTTTATTCGTAGTTATAGCTACAGGAACAAAGTGACGCAATGCAAACAAAGCATGCCGAATGCTTAAAGCCACTCTCGACTTAGTCTACGAGCGAGCGCAGCTCACAAGTGAATTGGTCGTCATTGTCCACGCCGGCACCGTGGGCCCACTCGTGACATCACAAACACCGAACCCACCCTTCTCGCCGCTTCCGTTCTTCAAAAACCGATCGTTGCAGTCGACCCGCGTACAATCGATTCTTCTTCTGATTCGCTGTTGCCATTCACGTCGAGCGCAAGTAAACGAGGAGCAACCTTCGGTTTCTGCAGCATGTTTTTATTTGCACTGCTTGCTTTTTTGGCCTTGGAATGTCTTTTTTTGCTTTTTTACCAAATCCGCTTTTCAATCCATTCTCTAATTCAGAGTGAGATACCTATTTCCCGTTATTCCCATACCGCCACCGTATTCCAACAGAGACTTCTAGCCAACTGTGTAGACGTAAGCCCAACCACCAGCCGAGCGCTGTTTATTAACTTGTTTGTAATCCCTAAGCGAAGTCTCATCATATACTCTCACTTTTTATAGACACAGGACACTACATTTGCAGACCCATATACTCTGCAAATATGAAATGAAATCTCACCTCGTTTGTACACAATGTGTTTCACGAGCACGCCACTGTGAGGGAATGGTCACGGCGGAGTGGCTGTATTATTTGCACTAACGATATCGTTTAGACTCACTGCTGGCAGATGGCTGTAGTCTGCGGGGGAGAAAGCGTTGCTGTCCCATTATACCTGGCGACCTTCCCCTACTACATTCTACAGTGTTCTCGCCCACACAGCATGCACCTACTCACCCAATAAATGATAAAGTTACTAACTCACTTATCCACTCACCCATGCATTAAACCACTCCCTGACCCACTTACCCACTCAATAACCTATTCATCAAGTTACTTACTAACTCACTTGCCCACTCACTCACTCTTCACCCCCTCACTAAATCACTCACTCGTCCAATAACGTATTCACCAAGTTACTAACTCACTTGCCCATTCACCGTCTTACCCACGCATTCACCCACTCACAAACCCACTTAACCAATAACTCACTCACTTGGTATTGCCCTCACCCACTCACTGACTCACCCACCCACCCACTCATCAATTCCCCCAGTTCCTCACTGACTCACTCATGGTGTAATAGTGAGTGTCATGGTATAGTAGTGAAAGAACGGTTTGGGAGCAATGGTACATTGTGAAAGTGGTGCAAATTATAAAATGTACTGATTGTATTATAAAGAGGTTGTTTTTATATATCGTATATTCATTGTGTATTTATGTGAGTATATTTACTTTGTGCACCTCTCTCCGTGTAGCTGTGCAGTGCAGTAATAGCGCGTAAATGAGTCTAGGTGGAGCGTGGTGTCTAGACAATTATAACATCGATACCGCTAATTTAGGCGGCGCTGCAGAAAGTCACGTTTCCACAGTTAAAACACTTTTTTCTTATTAACGAATCTTCAAACTTGTGTCAGACCATCTGAAACACACAGCCTAGGTGTGTGTCTACAAGAACAGTTTTTTTTATTAGGCATCTACCTTGAAACATATGTCTATGATTCATGCAGTACTCGTGATTCTTGTACGGGCAATTCTCATGTTAAACTATACATGTGATCATCTGTGCATCCATGCATACATGAGTGAGCATCTATTTGTGAATGAATAGATTCATGTCTGAAGATGTGGTTGTCCCAGTAGTCTTGAGTGGTAGTTCTGGTGGTCCCATTGGTAGTCCTAGTAGTCCAATTTGTTGTTATGGTGGTGCCAGTGGTAGTCCAGGAGGTCCCAGTAATAGTCCTGCTAGTCCAGATATTGGTCTTATAGTTATTGCCATGGTAAACTGTGAAGATGTTATCATGGTTATCATGCTGTAAATACTTTCAAACTTTCAGTATTCTTATTTAATACGATTCAGATCTGGCCATATATAGATTTGAATCCTATTTTATTCAGATTAAATTTGTATCGATCCATCCCACTGGTAGCGTTGATTGTCTTGTAATGATTCAGCACCGTCTTCGCAATTTGATGAATGATGACAATTTGACTTCACGATTTTATTCGACAGTTCTTGTCTTGTTTATACACTGATTTGTAGTCTCATGTGATCTCTCTTATTTTGTATCACGTATTCCATGAGCGTAAAGGTGTCGTGAGCTTGTAATTTGCATATACCATGAATTATTTATTTCTACATACACCATTTGACACATGTATCTTAAGTGTAAGAATGGTTTTTAATCAATAAATTGATTAGTTGTTACATGCCGAGTGTGCACCATACTTAACATGCATTTCTTTATTTCCTTGCAGTGGGAGAGTGATGACACATCAGAATACGTAAGCTTCTCTTGAGAGATCAACACTTTCGGTATATAAGTGTGGATGCTTACTGCATGTGTATTCAAACCCGGGCGACCCGATTTCGATTCCCTCTCAAGGCAAACACCAGTGCCGATTATCTGAACAGGTCCTGGGCCTCCTCTAGGTCAATTCAGCCTCAAATTAGTAACTTGTGTTGTGTGTAAACATCACCACTGAGGAGACAAATGCGGTTGGACATTGTGCTTGCCACTCACCCCCTCTTGTGCTGTGCCGGCCTTCATAGGTAACCGCTAGCAGCACTTGCCCCAACAGTTTGTTGAGGTTATACAGGAAATGATTGTCTTTGTCATTTGTATCGACTTAGGTGAGGAGTGGTAGTGCAGTGGTTAGCGCGCTGTGCTGTGAACCCGGCGATCCGAGTTCAATTGCCGCTCGCAACCAATATCAGTGACAAATAAATGAACTAGTCTTGGGCCTCTCCGAGCTCGACTCAGGCTTAAATGAGCACCTCTTGCAGAATGTAAACACCACCGACGAGGAGACAATGGTGGCCATTCGCAGTGTTATCCATACCTGGCGGTGCCATGTTGGCCTTCATAGGTGCTCACTAACAATGCTCGCCCCAACAATATGTTACGTCTATAGGGGAGGATGTTTGTCTTTATGTTCAGGAGTTTCTCATTGGGGGCTTGCAGCCTGAGACCTCCTACTCCCTGACTGTGAGGTCCCTTCTCCCGCGAGGGGAGGTTGCTGAGAGCCTGCCGAAGACGGTCAAAACCAAGGCTGCAGGTAACGCACACATGCCACATCTCCGAATTAGAGGTGGTTACAGTCCTTCATGAGTCTTCTTCCCCCCCCCCCTCCGCTTACTTGATGAAACACGATACATTCTTCACGTGCACTTGGCTTTAAGGCTCTAACTATGAATGAATTCCTCCCACTCGGAGAGTCTGTGCAGTCCATTACTGAGTAACTATTTCTTCTTTACTACCCTGACCCCCACCCTGCCTTATCTGTGGTGTTGTCATCCTAGTTCCCAGCAAACCTCACGTCAAGGTCAGTCCTCCTCTTCGATGATGTGTCTGTTTAACACGTAGGCTTATAGATGATGATGTGTCCGATTGGTTCGGAGAGTGATGCTCCCATATGCTCAGGGTTTTCTGTAGATTGTTTCCTTTGTGACCCGTTTTGTGTTGTTACTAAAACGTTTCCGATGGAGAGGCCAAAGATGTGAATGTTGTGTAGAGATGCAGTTCAAGGAACGCGTTACTGTAGTCAGATTACAAAGGACAGGTACCGGTAATCCATTATGATTACACATTTCCAGTGTGTAATCTCGCTGCTTTTACCATCCGTTGGTTCATTACTGTCCCATGGTTATATCAATGTCTGCACCTCCGATTAGCACAGATGGCAACGTACGGTGCAAAAGAAGTTCAACATACATGCGTACAATTTAAAATTTGACCACAAAAGTGGGAAATAATTGTGTCAGCAGCTTGGGGTGAAACGAGGAAAGTGGCAGCAGCCAATACATACAGATCATTGTGCAAAACCTACAATCGTTGTAGCACAGTGATGTTACTTCTGAGATTAAATCAGTATAATATTTTCCAGCAGTGGCGCTGCTTGCTTGTAAGTCATTGGTTGGTGAATCGCACACATTTGTCAAGTTCCCAAACCCAGTGGGTTGCGAGGTGGTCGGAATATAACAGGACAATTTGGTTAATCAACTCATCTGCGTGGATCGTTAGAGTGTTAACCCCTTATATGCCTTATAGGTTTTTTTTTTTCCATGTACTCTGGTTGCCTCCCACACTCAAACATTTTCTTGGAAATGAATTGCTTAACTATACCAATGCAGGAGCCTTCTTAAAAAGAGTATTTATACTCGTTTAAGCTAGACATGAATACATCACATTATTATCAGGTGTACATTTGAAGAAGTTAATAACAAAGATTATCAAGTAATCAGATGATACAACATTGACAATACCAAGCCCAGGATTGCCTTACCTTACCTTACTTTTAAAACCTGTCAGTGGTATCTGGACACTCAGCACCACATTTGTGATTGCCTGTTAGAATGAGAGTGTGTGACACACTAACCTCTTAACCTTTTGACCCTGGTGTCAGGTGACAGTCATGGAGGGCACAGTGGTGCTGGTTGAGTGGGAGGAGCCAGAAGTGACATTTGGGCCTCTCCTGGACTACAGACTCACTTACAAACGCATGGATGCAGGTAGTACTTATACACACATATTATAATATATGCATATCTAGATACATCGGTGGGTAGGGAAGCTATGGCTTTTTATTGCCAATATTTGTGACCTGGCAACATGGTGTTTCTAATGTTTGTGTTATCAGTCACTTCTGTCACAGCAAGGACCTTGTACAATGACACGTTAATGAGGTGCGTGTTAATTGACAGGTTAATTAAAATAATACCAGGTTTTTGTTTACCGTCATAGGGAGGAAAGGAACACTGTCTATTAACAGACATGCTCAATTTAAGTATTTTTCTCACTAACAAAGATTACAAGTCATATGGGACAGCCAGGAATACACGGCCTAGATGCATAGCTGCTACATAATCACCCTTTGTTGTTTGGGTTGCATCTTAAACACATATCCCGAACACCCTCCTCTCTTGTACCACAGCCACTCAAGCGTCCACCCTGTACCTCGCGGTGTCCGAGTCTAGTGTCACTCTGCGCAACCTGCATCGCGGGGCCTCCTACTCGTTTGTCATGGTGGCACGGAGTGTGGGCGGGGTGAGCGGAGGCAGTCTCTTGGGCGAGGAGGCGGTGATTACCGTGGTGACGCCCGAGGCTCCGCCGTCAGCTCCGCCGTTGAACGTGAGTGTGGGGCGCATGGGCCGCTCGGCGGCCGCGCTCCATTGGGAGCCTCCACCCCTGGACTCTCGCAATGGAGTGATCGTAAGGTATACGGTGCTTTACCGAGCCCTGCCCAGTGGAGGAGTAGGACACCGCGAGGGTACCGGAGCAGAGAGAGCAGAAGGAAGTATTGCTGGAGATGGAAGAGGAGAAGGAGATTACGAAGGAGGTGGACTTTCTCAACGTGGTGGAAGAGGTGCTAGAGGTACAATTTCTGAAGGTGGAAGAGGTCCTGCAAGTGGAGGTGAACGAGGAGGTCATGAAGGTGGAGGAAGAGGTTCTGCAGGAGTAGGTAGAGGAGTTCCTGGGGGTCCAGGCAGTGGCGGCCCTGGTGTTGGAGGACCTGGTGGGGATTCTGAAGAAGGAGGAGATGTTGTGGCCGAGTCCTGGGATGGGGAGCTTCATGTCGTCGGTGATACCACAGCCGTGGTGCTGAGCGGCCTCCAGCCAAACCGGAGCTACGAGGCGCGAGTGAGGGCACACACCCAGGCTGGGCCCGGACCCCTCAGCGATGCCGTGCACTTTCGGACACTCTCCAATGAAGGTGGTGCGTGTGTGTGTGTGGCGTGGTGGTTACAGCATTGCTCTCTGAGCCCAGTGATCTCACTTTAATTTCCAGCCGTGGAAAACAACAGTGGCGAATGCCTGAACTTTTACTAGGCCTCCCCTAGGTTGACTTAGTTTTAAATGAGTACCTGTTGTGGTGCGTAAACCTGTGTTTTGCACGTACAAACGCGGCCAGGGGTGGTGCTGGTCACACCACCTCCTTATGTGTCGGGCCAGCCTTAATAGGTGTCACTAACAACACTTTCCCAAACAGTCTGTCTGGCCATAAGGGTGATCTTTATGTTTTGTTTATGTGGTGTGTGTGTATGTTTTTGTTTCTGTGGGCTAAGTTGGCTGTGCAGGGGCAGAAGGACCATGAGCTGAGTAATAATTATAGGGCTTGGAGCTGAGAAGACTCCGATAGAACTGGACATGTAGTCATTGCGTAAAACACCGAGAATGAAATATGATAAGATGGCTAAAATACAGCGAGTGTGGGTGGTGCATCTTGAAGTCACCTTGGTCTGTTTTCTATCCACTCATAGCCTGAAAGTCAACCTGGAGTATGTAACATGGTCAAGAAGAGCATGTAGATGAATGGTGGTTGTTGCTGCTGTTGTTGTAGCAGGCGGATTTGCCATGAATTTCCGCATTAAAGCCATGATGCCGACATCAGTTCTGCTGTCCTGGGAGGTCCCTGATTCTCCAAGGTCAAACGAACGACTGCAGGTGATCACCCCACCACGACACGCCACAAATCACCTCTCCATACAAGGACACACTACACCGCACACACTGCAACTCACCACACCAAGCCACGCAACAACACATCACACAGAACCACTCCACAACAACATATCATGCCAAATCACCCCTCGATCCACCATTCTACACCATGGCATACCACCATAACATATCACACCAATCTACAGCATGACACACCCACACACACACCACCTCATCTAACCTGTATGTTTAAGTTGATTATTTGTGTGTGTGTCTTGGCGGTGTCGCGGTAAGCGCTACTGCACCACGAACCCGGCGACCCCAGCTCAATTCCCGGTCATGGCCAACACCGGTGACGACTGTCTGAACCGGTCCTGAGCCTCCCCTAGGTGGACTCAGCTTCTGCGGAGTGCTCACAGGAGGGAGGCTTTCCCTCACGTACAAAATGCCCAAAAGAAAAAAACAGGCCTCTCCAAAATAAAAAAAAACACACAAAGAGAGTACCGCTGCTGCACATAAACAGTGCAGGAGCAGCAACTTCCCCAAACTAACAACGAAGGCACCTCAGTAGCACAGGCTCAGGGAACTCAAGAGCACCGTGCACGAAACCAAGCTACAGACCGCACAGTCACTGCAGCAGCACGGATTGCAGAAAACCCTGACCATCGTACATCTCGACAAGCCAGGGACCGCACAGTCACTGCAGCAGCACGGACTCAGGAAAATCCTGTTCAGCGTGCATCTTGACAGGCCAGGGACCGCACAGTCACTGCAGCAGCACGGACTCAGGAAAATCCTGTTCAGTGTGCATCTTGACAGGCCAGGGACCGCACAGTCACTGCAGCAGCACCGGCTGAGGAACCACAACATCAGAAAACGGCGCGCCAGAGCCAAGTCTGTCATGCTGCTGCATCAAGAGCAAGAAGAAATAACCCGGACTGGAACAGAGCTGCTTTAAATGACCAACCAGAGATCAATTATCAATCCATGCTGATATTAGGCTATATGTCAATTACTTGCGCAGAATGTGGTGCTCAAAAGTGGAAAGGAGAAACTAAGGAATGTGCTGCCGTGATGGAAAACTCAAACTTTGCTTTGTGCAGACGCCCCCCCCCCCTCCCCCCCCCTGAGCCACTGAAATCCTTGGTATCTGGCCACTAAACACTTTTTGACTAACATTTATTTTTGTTTTTCATCTACGTGATTTTACCGAGAGAACCAAAGAGCAACATTAGGAAGTACAATTCTTGATTTCAAATGACTTCTTTTGGCGCAACTAAGGATATAGTGGAGCCAGGATTTATTGGCCACATTCAAAGTTCAAGGGCAATTCTATCATCTAATCAGATCCATTCAGCTCACTGCCTGGCAAAGAGCCAAAGTTTCTTCAGATATACTTCATGGGAGATGAAGGTCAGCAAAGCAACCGGCGATGCAGCAATATTCCTGGTGCCAGACTAGCCATTGTCCTCTCCCTCCAAGGGATGCTCAACCAACACAATTCATTGATTACAAGTTTCAAACATGCTGCTCAACAAGTCACCTCCAATGACTATCAGGTTGTAATCAATGCATCCAAGGTCCCAGGCGGGGAGCACGCACGGAGGTTTAATGCCCCAACTTGTGGTGAGGTTGCTGTTCTTATGGTGGGTGAAGAACATGGTAAGAGAAACATTGTGCTTCGATACCAAGACAACACCATCAAACGAATTCCTGAGACAAACAGAGCATATGACGCCCTACAATACCCCCTGATACTGTGGCAAGGCCAAGATGGGTACCACGTCCAGATTCCTCAAATTATCAATACAATAGGACAAAGTCATCCTCACAAAACTGTCTCCTCCAAAGACTTCAATCTTTAACCAGGTCCTCATCCTCCTTGAAGACAAACTTCACTCCATTGGTGGAAAAGACCGAACGTCTATCAGACTACCAACACCCTCCAGGGATAACCTGTATGCCCTTGGCCAAGAGATCCTATGTGAAATATCCTATGAGGGTTTAGAACTTCTAAAATTAATTGAGGAAAATTAACCAAAGCTGATGGATGCACAAAGAGAGGCCTACACGAAAATCTTGGAAGACATTGAGTCTAAAAATGGAGGCATATTTTTCTTTGACGCACCTGGTGGTACTGGGAAGGCCTTGTTTCTCAACCTGCTCCTGGCAAAGGTTCGCCAGAGGGAGACAATTTATCTGGTTGTGGAATCATCAGGGATTGCGGCAACTTCTGCTTACTGGAGGAAGAACTGCCCATTCCACATTAAAGCTTGCATTCGATCTATTCCGATAAGAAAACCTTGTTTGCGATATTTCAAAGGGGACTGCCCTTGCATAAGTCCTGATTTTTTTAGTTTTGCTGGCTGGCAGGGAGCGAACGTGCAGATTGCTTTTAATTATGAAAATGATTACCAGTTATCTTTCAACAATCCTGAAATTATATCCATCACAGGAACTCGGTCTGGCTGTTTCAGTTGATGGAACAAAGCACCCTCTTTTTTCTTTAAAAATGGGGGATAGCGCGAACGCAGTCCCCCAGTACCACAAATTATACAGTCGAGTTTTCCGCATTTGGGGAAATCGCAGGGGTCAACCCACCCGCAGTGCAATGGATAAGCCTCGCCCTGGGAGGACCACCTAAATGATCATGGTGCCTCCCCTGTCAGGTAAGTATAAGTCCTGATTAATTGTGAACTAATAGTGTGGGATGAATGCACCATGTCCCACAAGGGAGCACTTGAGGCTGTCAACACAACTTTGCAGGCTCTCCGCGACAATCCCAGGATTATGGGTGGTGTAAGTTTTCTCATGGCTGGTGACTTCTGACAAACCTTACCTGTGGTACTTTGTGGAACCAAAGCTGATAAGTTAAATGCCTGCATCAAGTCATCGTTCCTCTGGAGGCACGTAATGAAACTGAGATCAACTACAAACATGCATGTATATCTCCATGGAGACCAAGAGGCAGGAAGTTTTGCTCAAGCTCTTCTTGATATTGGAAATGGAACAATTGTTGCTGACGGCACAGATAGACTTATCACCATGTCTAAAAGCATCCTTTGCACTTGGCAAGAGGAACTAAAGAAAAAGGTGTACCCAAACATGCAACAACACTTTCAAGATGTTCTCTGGCTACGGGAGAGGGACATTTTGGCTCCTAAAATGATGCTGTTCACAGAAAAAATTCTATGCTGTTGCAGAAATTATCTGGAGAGCACAAGTCCTACAAATCTATTGACTCAGTGTTGGACCATGGTCAAATTATTCACTATCCTGTTGAATTCTTGAATTATCTGCAGCTCCCGGGTGTTCCACCACACAACTTGCTACTAAAAATGGGGGCACATGTCCTGCTATTGAGAAACTTGGACCGACCTAGACTGTGCAATGGCACAAGGTTGATTGTCAACGAATTACATTCAAATGTCATCAAAGCTACGATCATTACAGGCAACTCTAAAGGTGAAGACGTCTTTCTCCCTCGCATACCTATAATCCCAAATGACAGTCTTTGAATTTAAGAGGCTTCATATCCCCATCCAGCTCAGCTTTGCGATTCCCATTAACAAGGCGCAAGGACAATCTTTAAAAGTAGTGGGACTCAATTTGGCAACTCCGTGATTTTCTCATGCCAGCTTTATGTTGGATGCACTCGTGTAGGCAATGCAAAACATTTACATTACTTTGCACTAGCAGGCAAGACCAGAAAGAGGCTCTTTGATAGGGAGGTGCGGGTCAGCTGCAAGTGCCACTTGAATTATTTGGAAGAGGCCCTCTTTTGTGTTTCATTACTTTGGAGAGGCTCTTGCTTGGGTTGGGGGCACCACTCCCCGCACACGTGTGCTGCTTCACTCCACGCCTGCTGAGGGGTAGTTCTGCTGTCGGCGGATGCCCGCTGAGCCGCGTCCACACCTCGCCGCCCTGTGCGGCCTGCACTTCGCTTCCTTCCCCGGGTGTCCTGCCTTCACCTGCGCCTGCCGGCCACCATTTCGGCGGCCTGCCTGCCGGTGGCTGTTGACGATGGCGCTCACGCAGCGCGCCTTCCTCGCCGTCCCACATCTCATCGCCCTATCCCCACATCTCCTGCCTGCCTCCTGTGGCTGTCAAGTGTCCTGTCCGTGATTTGGCTGGCAGCTTTTGTTTGCGCCACCGCCCGCGCGCTGTTGTTCTTTCGCCTCCGATCTTAGCTGCCCTACCTCCCTTCTCCCCATTTCCCCCATTTTCTTATTACAAATGTTATACCGCCTGTGTTTTGTGAAGTGCCTTACTGCAGTACTCATTAATACTACAGTAATAAATACTACAGTACAAATAAATACGTGTTTTTCTGCCATTAACCATATACGTGTAATAAAAGGACTCAGACGCTTCTCGCTGACTCCGTGTCCTTTATTTGGGGTTCGCGTTCTCCTTCCCACACGGCACTCCTCCTGAGACTCTCTCCCTGGCAGCCCCACATCTGCCTTCGCTCCCGTAGCCTTCCACGCTCCTGCAGTTCCGCTGCAGGCTCTTGGTGCAGCCCTCTGGCTGCTCCCACAGCAGCTCCATCGCTGCTCCCTGTTCCTCCGTGCGTGGCGATCTCGCCACCTCCCAACGTCAGCCCTCCGTGGCCTCTATGGCTATCTCGCCATTTCCTACCTCAGCCCTTCGTGGCCTCTGTGGCTATCTCGCCACTTCCTACCTCAGCCCTTCGTGGCCTCTGTGGCTATCTCGCCACTTCCTACCTCAGCCCTTCGTGGCCTCTGTGGCTATCTCGCCATCTCCAACCTCAATCCTCCACTCTCTCTTCCACCCCGCTGGCTGGCGCCGTCATGAGCCCCTCAGCCACCAGGCTGAGGCACGGCGACCACCCAACGTGTTCACCACCCTTCACTCCCCCGACTGACCCAGATAGCTTCCTGTCTCCCCGCTATAACTTCTCCCCCACGTCACCCTGACTCCTCCCTCTCGGATCGTCATATCCGCCCCGCCCATTTACGCCCGCATTACACTACCCTCCC